CATTCGTCTCATACATGGCATTCATCAAAGTGACGGAGACCAAGTTTCCGGGCCAGATCATAGCAGCCGGATAGACTGACAGTAAAGTTAGCAAACCTGAACCTCAGTTTTGTAATAAGTACGCACCGAGGAACTTTCGCATGATGCCGGCAATTCCGTAGCCCAAGGACTGAGTGGAAATGGTGAGAAGCAGTTGAAAGACGATGCCAAAGTCCTGCTTGTAAAATACCAGCTGGGCCAGAATAATGTCGGTGGCGTAAGCGACCGAAAAGGACACACCAGCCATCACGACAATGATGGAGTGCTCCTTGATGTTGAATGGTCCCGGGTTCAAGCTCCACTTGATGCCAAACGTCTTGAACTGCTTCGTAGGCATCACCTTGGCCCAACCCTGACCGATAGGCCATGCAATAATCTGCGCAATTAGAGGACCAAGACCGATGGAAGGCTGTCGTAGTGAGAACAAAGTGTTCATTGAGGCACCAACAGTGACCAACATGAGACCGATAGTCCAGGCTCGGATGGTGTTGCAGGGCATATCTTCGTCGTAGTTGCGAACGGCTGCGCGTACTTCGGGATACGGTGAGTCCTCCTCCTCCTCCCTCTTCATAGCTAACTCATCATCGACCTCTTCGGTTGGTGTCGATGCCGCGTTACGAATTCTCGTCTCGTACTCTTCGGGCAGATTCGGATCTAAGAGAAGTTCATGTTCGGACCCTTGCTCATCTTCATCATCATAGCCGTGGTAGACACTTGACTCACCCCATTGCGAGAGCCTCTCTTTCAAGTCCTCGACCGGGTCCCGGTCTGAGAATCTTGAGGTGGTAGAGTCGGCGGGATTGATCTCGCGCCCACTGACCTCCACCTCCGCTTTGGTATCGAGCCCGCGATCGTTGTCCGCCATCATGGGTCCTGAAGCCGTACCAGACGACTTACCATTGGATGGTTGGGGCATGTTGAAAGTATTCCCAGGAGTGTGGGAGCACAATCATCAACGACAGGGTCAAAACGTCCAAAAGCAGGAGGAGGCAGTGGGTTTCTATATAGGAGGGGAAGAGTCTAAAGTGTCTAGGCGGATGGCGTTGGGAGAGAGAGAGAGAAGCGGGAGACGGGAACCCGCAGAGGTACGAGCTACGAGCGCCGATCCCAGACCAACATGAAGCAAAGGCTAAAATTGAGCCTCTGGTTGTACTCGATAAGCCTCTGGTATGTACAGAGTCTCTTTCGAGGCCTGCAGTGAGTGTGGCGTGATTGGACCTGGGACTCGAATGAATCAACCTCGCAGGTGCTTAGTAGTGCGTGGTACGCAGGAGAGGCCGACCCCGTGCTCTTGGAAACAGGGTGATGCTCGGCAGGAAAGGACGGGCGATCCGCAGACTGGGATCAGACTAAAGGATGGCGAGGATGAGTGAGGGCGATGACTGGAGCGAATGATGGTGGAGGGGTGTGATGCTGTGGGATGATCGGACGGCCAGAGAAGTCGAGGGAAAGACGAGGGCAAAGGCATGAATGGGGGCTAGTCTCAAGGAAGGCGAGTTTCCCGACTGGTGACACTGCTCGGACAAGAAGATTGGGATCGAAGTGGTTGCAGAGTTCTCATAGGACGAGTGGTCATTGATGATAAGAAGGGAAACAAATGCGACGCTGAAACCAAGCTGCGGCACAACTCAGCACAGATGCAGTGTGGTGTGGCGACTCGAGGCCCGGATACAGAGCCGCAAGTTTGCGGGGATGGACTTGATGAAGGCGGACGTTGAGTTTTGCAGATGCCGAGATGCGATGGGAGACCCTGCAAGGCGGGATGGCCAAGCTTCCGAGTGTGGCCTCTGTTGGTTGGGTTCCTGTGTTCCTGACGGGCTCGTTTGTTTCTCTTGGCTGCTCAACCTGGCGATGATAACGATTTGGAATGCCGGGAAGACGTCGATGTCTGAAACGTGGCTCAATGGAACGGTTGGTGAGATGAGATGTCGTCCTCCAGGGATTGGCGATCTTTGAATGGCTGGACTAGTTCACCTCCTGGAGTGAGGTTGAGTAAGATGATCCGATGGTGCGGTAGAGGATGTCACCTCCCAGTCTCATGAGGCTGCAATAGAGAAGCAAGTTAAGAAAAGCTTCTTTTACATGGAAGAAGCGTCGGGTTGTGGGAGACTACTGTACCTCAGAGAAAGATACCTAGGAAAGACGGGAAGTGAGTGAAAGAAAGAGTGAGTGAGAGTGAGAGTGAGAGAGAGAGAGCGCATGCGCCAGTCGCAACGTGTGTCGTTGCGCAGCGTTGCGTTGCGTTTCCGACGCAGAGGCCAAGGTCCCCGGTTCCAGCCAATCATCTGACACCTAAGAGGCTGAATCCAGAATTCCAGACCCAAAACCCCCATTGAGGCGACGTTAGTGTCCCCCGCTTCCCGCTGCAGTTGTCCCCGCCGCCATTTAGGCCCAGGGCATTTGCCCAGAAGGGGGTCAATGGAACTCAAGATAAGGTACCATACGCTACTGAGATCCCGACACTGTGGCCTCAGCACCAAGAAGCCCCCTTTTTAGCTGTCCTTTCTTCGCTTTGACAGCCCCTGACAGCACAGTGTTTGCATGCAGCCCCTGCAGCGACAGGTCGACAATCTGCACTTATCGACACCTCCTCAGCTTACCTCAAGGTAGTGAGTGCCGAGTACGTACTCTCCGTCAAGAACGCGCTAAACTGCATCTGTGCGGCGCAGCAGAAGCGACCCGACCGCGCTTTTTCCTACATCTCTACTAGCCTATCCGTAACATAGTTCCGACTTCAACTGTCCTACAGACCACTCAAACGTCCTTCACCATCGCTGCCGGCCTAGCCATTGACACGGAAGACCCTACCATCATCCCTACCTGCGATAGACATATCGCCCCAGCGCAGCCTGTCCCCTTTTCATCCCCGCCCTTTCCACTTTGTCGTTTGCTACCTTAATCCCACCATTTACATGTCGGTGCGTCTATAGTACAAAACGACACACAGATATTGGCCCTGGCTATGGCACAAGAGTCATGCGACGAGTTGTCGTGACAGGGCTCGGCGCCATTTCGCCCTTCGGTGTTGGCGTGCGTACCACGTGGAAACGTCTGTTGGCTGGAGAATCAGCCATCACCAGTGTGGCTGACTTTGAGCCGCGAAGCCGCTGGAAAGATTTGACGAGCACAGTTGCTGGTGTAGTCCCCAGTCATGGCTCGGGTCCCGATCCGTGGCGGCCGGGTGACTGGCTCGACGCCACGGAACAACGTCGCATGTCCAAGTTTGCCCAGTACGCCGTAGCATGCGCCGACATGGCAATGAAAGATGCCGGGTGGAATCCAGAGAGCCAAGAGGACAAGGAGGCCACGGGTGTATGCCTTGGCAGCGGTATAGGAAATCTCGAGGAGATTTACGAGACAAGCTTGGCCTTCAACCAACAAGTGAGATCTCGCTGCAGTGATCGACAAGCGAAGCCAAGCTAAAGTCTGTTCTGGTAGGGCTACAAGAAGGTTTCACCACTCTTCGTTCCCAAGATTCTCATCAACTTGGCCGCCGGCCATATCTCAATGAAATACGGATTGCAAGGTCCCAACCATTCCGTCACTACCGCCTGTACAACGGGTGCTCATTCCATTGGAGATGCGATGCGATTCATTGCTTTTGGGGATGCCGACGTCATGGTTGCTGGCGGAACGGAATCCTGCATCCATCCCCTGACCTTTGCTGGTTTCGGGAGGGCAAGGTCCCTCTCCACAGCGTACAACAACAACCCCCACGCCAGCTGTCGTCCCTTTGACCGCGACCGCAATGGTTTCGTCGTTTCGGAGGGGTCGGCAGTCCTTGTCCTCGAGGAACTTGAGCACGCCAAGGCCCGCGGCGCCAACATCTACGCGGAGGTGAGGGGCTACGGCTGCAGCGGCGACGCGCATCACATGACGGCCCCGCGGGAAGACGGACACGGAGCCTTCCGCGCCATGAAGCTTGCTCTGAAGAATGCGGAAGTTCGACCGGCCGAGGTGAGCTACATCAACGCGCACGCAACAGGGACACAGGTTGGCGATGCGGCAGAAGCTTCCGCGATACGAAGCATCATGACAGGCGAGGAGGGTTACGCGGACGAGTCGCAGGTGACCGTGAGCAGCACCAAAGGCGCCGTTGGCCATCTGCTAGGGGCGGCTGGCGCCATCGAGGCCCTGTTCGCCGTGCTATCGGTTGCAGAGGTGAGTCGCGGCTATTGGGTTTCTGAAACCAGAACCTTATCTTCCCCAGACTTTCTTGTCTTTTTCTGCCCAACCGAGTGTTTTCCTCTGACTCTTAATCAAAAGGATATCGTGCCGCCTACGCTAAACCTCGAGAATCCAAATGTCGGGGGATCCATGAACATGGTACCCCTCGAGGCACAAGCGAAACAGGTTAACGTTGCTATTTCCAACAGCTTTGGCTTTGGCGGGACGAATGCCTCGCTGGTTTTTTCCAAAGTACGTTAAACGAGGACAGCCGTGCCGATAGAATCAGAAGAACCATGCGATGACGGCTGCGCCCGCGGAATGTCTAAATTGGCTCTGGCTTAGACTCAGACTTTGGGCAGACCATAAGAGAGGCTTTATGGAAAGCTTCACATTGTAAGACTCGATGTATGATTGGTTACGAGAATTGTAGGAGGTAGAATTGCCGACATACGTGCGCGGCCACTACGAGTTTAATCTCTGCTTTAACATTAGATATGAGCGTTTCCAAGGCTCTAAATGACTTTGGGTGCAAAGTAACGAGCCTTGAGTGAGACTTTTGTGAGAGAGTCCGCTCCACACAACAGCAATGAGGTTGGACGTTACCTGTGAGGGAGAAAGAAAATCCGATTTCTATTCTAAACTACAGAAAGCTAAACGCCAAGACCGTCGATAAGGTCTTGATGAGCATCACGGCATTGTCAATCCAAAGGAGTTGAGTGGTGTGAGCCTACAGTGTCCATCCACATACCTAGGCACGGTACTAAGACATGGCCCGAAGTTCCGCCGACCTGGCATGTGCTAGCTCGAAATTTCCAATTCGATGTGTTCATGAACTTTTTTTTGAATGACGTCCAGACTTTTGGTGAGCTCCGCGTTTTTGGGCCCAAGCTGCTGGTCAACGTCCAATACCCCGATTCCCCGTCTCACCTCGACTGTGACCGTAGACACTTTCGGAACAATCAACGACACCCCTTACACCTGTCACCCACGCGACATTCCGAGATAAGACGCAGAACCCGGTGCTTTCCCTGATATCCCTGATATTCCGAATCAGCAACAACCTTCAAGATGGCCTGCCAAAGCTGCCGCTACCAGGCAAGACTCTTGGCTCGGAGCCTGCGCGCCACCGCCGACCTCGCCTCCGCATCCTCGGCTCAGCAGACCTCCATCGCCGCGACGGCGCGCCGAGCGGCACTGACGACATCCAAGACCGGCGGCCCGGCCGCGACTACCACCATGGGGAGGAGGCACTTCAGCCAGACGGCGACGCGGCGGGACGCGGCGCCCTCGTCGGGTGGGCTCAAGCAGGCCATTGCGTCGGGCATGATGGCCGCCGCGCCAAAGACCATGGCCGCGACCCTGACGACCTCCCGCCTCGAGGCGCTGTACAAGATCTGCTCGTCGCCGGCGCTGTACAAGATCTCGGAGCAGGAGCGCGCCAAGGATATGGTGCGCATGACGGCCGAGGGGGAGGAGGTTGGAGATCCCATTGGGCCGTGGTTGCAATGTGCGTTTTTAACTATATCCTTTTCTGTGCTCCCATCTAGGGATGGGAGAAAGCCCCCCCCCCCCCCAAATCGAGTTTTGATTGCAGTGATACTGACACATCATATCAAAAACAGTCCTCGACCTCCAACCCGGCTTCAGCTCCTGGTCCCAAGCCACGATGCTGCACATGTACCTCGTCCTCGCCCGCCTGCGCTGCCTCGACCGCGACAGCTCCCGCAACCTGCAGCACCAGTTCATCGACCAGTTCTTCTTCGACTGCGAGCGCATGATGCACCTCAACCACGGCATGACCTCGTCCGCCCTTCGCCAGCGCTACCTGAAGGAGATTTTCGTCCAGTGGCGCGGCCTCATCGCCGCCTACGACGAGGGCGTCGTCAAGGACGATAAGGTCCTCGGCGCCGCCGTGTGGCGGAATTTGTTCAAGAGCCGCGAGGACGCCGACCTGAGACAGGTGGCTGCCGTGGTCGGGTGGATGCGCGCTACGCTGCAGGACCTTGAGGCGGCGCCTGTGGAGGATATTCTTGTTGCGCCGGCCAAGGTGTTTAAGAGGGATGTGAGGGAGATGTTTGCTCTCGTTGATGCTGTTGGGCCGCAGGTCAAGGAGGATGTTGCTAAGCTTGGGGGCGGCCAGGAGCAAGCGGCGGCGAAGGCGTAAGGGAAAATTCCAGCGTTGGGGACGAGTTGTATGGCGGCGGATCAGACAATCTGAAGGATCCGTGGGTCCGCCGTAGTGTATCGATTTGTGGAAGATGATGAGAATCATGTACAGCATTTGACGAACGTCGCAGACTGTAGAGCCTGGCATGGGGAAGGGAGATGCTACAGGCCTTGTAATTTTGTACAATCACCAACGCATATTAGAGGTTTCGAGACGGAATGGAGGATTTACAAACAAGATTCTATCAATTCTAGCTTTTTCTTGTACATGTACTCATTCCATTTCTCCTTTCCATAACTTGTGAAGAGCAACGGAGAATGAATATTGATGAACAAATGAATATAAAGTCATATCTTCTCCCACATCTGGAACTCATACCGCGTCCCATTCTCCTCAATCTCACCCCCCTCAACCTCTTCTCCAACCCACTCGTCAAGCCCCTTCTTCTCAATTTGCGCCCACTGCCCATCGCCGTCGTCGCCGCCAAGCTTCAGCGGGAAAAACGCATCGCACTCAAACTCCCCCACAACCCTCGTCAGCAAAACTCTCTTGGCTTCAGGAACCTCGAGCGCCGCGCCGTAAATCTGCGCGCCGCCAATGACAAACACCTTCCCCAACTTGCCGGTCGCGACCCCGCTGGCATCGGAGCGGAGGAACGCGAGGGCCTGGTCCAGTGAGGAGACCTTGACCGCATCCTTTTCGAAATCCGTAGCCGCGGCCGAAGAAGAGTCCAACGAAGCAGCAGGATGAGAGCGGCTGATGACGATGTTGAGGCGACCTTTGAGAGGTCTGAAGCGGGGCGGGATGCTGTCCCACGTCTTGCGGCCCATGATGACGGCGTTGCGGGCGTCTGAGGGTGCCTAGTGCCCGATTATCATGTTAGCCATAGAACAGTCCTTGCGCATTGGTGATGCAATTTATTCAGAATTGTATTACGATACCCGCCAGTTAGGACGGACGTGGAATATGTACGGCTCCCAATCCAGGCTTTGGAAATATCCAAGGCTCCCATCACACTTGAAGAATTGAGCAGAAAAGACATGGCCCTTAACGTACCTGTGGAGGAAGCCTCTTCGTCACGCGCGCAAAGTAGGCCATCTCCTTCTTCAGTCCCGTCCACGGCAAGCCGCCCTTGGCGCCGATGCCCATGTTGCGCGTCGCCGCGACGATAAGCGTGAGTTCGTGGCTCATGATGACTCTCTGGTGGGGGGAACGCTTTCTTCCCTTGTTTACACGCTTTACTGTCTTTCGATGAATAAGCGGTTCCTTGGGCCCAGAGAATTTGTCAAAGAGTGAGGGTCGAAAGAAGACTGGCTTCGGGGGCGATGTACTCTGCCTTGGCTGTTCCCTTGGGTTGGGAGGTGTAAGTGTAAGTGCAAGTGCAAGTGTGAGGTGCGTGGTTCACTCTGAATTTTGCGCTAGCTGAGTGACAATTGGTGCCGGCCCATTGGTGGGCTCTTGTGGAATGTCAAATCATAGGGAACATTGAAATCAATCCACGACCAACGACCACAATTTCCACGACCCGAAACCGTTCTTCAAGTCTTTGGGCATTGAAGCCTATATCTATGGTCCAATCTAGCTTCTTGGGCTGTGGATAAAGAAGCTAATTTTCGATGCAAGACCTCATCATGGGAACTAATTGCTAGACCAGAGCCGAACCTCAGCATCGAACGTATCACATCAGGCACTGTACCATCTAAGGCACACTGAAATTTCGCAATCGTCTCCTGACCTTGGTATATTCGCACTTGGTATAATATAAGTGACTTCCGAGTCACACTTGACCAGCCTAGCCGTTGCTGGCCAAAGAACCTGAACGCCGTCGACGTGTTGGTCGATAAAGTCATCCTGAGAATACAACCATTCTCCCGTCATTAAGAATTCATAAACCACCTTCCTTCCATTCACTTGTCCACCACACACCCCTTCATCTCAATTCCACTGAAGGGAAATACCGCGGTCCAGCGAACCCTTTGGCAAGGACAGCTTGTATATCGATATTACTGCCAGCCGCACGACTGCTACTCCACATCTTCAAGAGTATGAATCTCCCCGCAACAGGTGGATCAAAGCGTATTGTGCATTTGCTCTTGTCCTTCTCGATAAAGAACTTAGCATGCGGCGCCATGAGTCCACGCCCACCACTGACAGCCCGAACAGCCTCCTGCGTTGCCATCTGATTCGCCTCAACAGCCTCTGCCAGTGACATATCATTGGGGTCACGGCGCCTGTTTGTGAAGGAGTAATCTTCAAAGTCAGATGCAAATGGATTGCCGTCGTCGCTGCTGTCACTCTCAAACGGCAAGGACCCAATTCTATTGGGAGCTGTTCGATTCGCAGTAATCCTAGGCGTATCATCATCGTCGGTTTCTTCGTAACTGCATTCGGTGGTGATGTTGAAGGGTGGCAAGTGTGTGGTGAACTCCGGCGGGATTTGTGCTGTCCGACTCTCATTTTCATCGTCTTCGTGTCCCAGACTGTATAGCCGTCTCTGCCGGGTGTGCGTTCTAGTCACAGTCGTCCCGTCTTCGTGATGCCGTATTGAAATTATCGGGGCGAGTGCTCTAGTAGCCGTTGCGCGACCTGATCTCTGCGGAGCATATTGTATTTCGTATTCCGCCGTTCGCCTAAGAAGCTCATCCTGATTCATGGAGACAAAGATCATACCCTCCCGTACGCTACATACATCTGTTAGATACGGCCCCCATACAATAGGGGAAACTTCGAGATACTCACGGTGAAGAGTAATTCGATGCCGGTGCCTTGATGACAAGCTCCTTCAAGCTGAAAGCAGTACCGCCTTGATGCCGCAAAATGATGTTGCAGCGGTTGGACTGTGTGCAGTATACAGTCTTGTCGTCCTTGAGGATATTTTCGTGGGCGTGAAGGGTGGTGTTCTCGTAAAGTCCCCCATCACAGCTCATGATTTCCATCTTTAGTTGACCTGACTCGACCTGGCCATAACGTCCATATCGAAACCCCGTGAAGCTCTGCGCAATTCGTTCAGAGTCCAGCTTTCTCCTCTTCACCCTCCGATTCTCCTCCGGGTATTCCTCCGGTGGAGGTAAAGGCGAAAGATTTGGCGGGGATTGATTGGGAGGCATCCTGGGCGGCGAAAAGGGTGAGGAGCTGTACTGGGCTCTCCTATTCCACAGAGCTCTGACTGCTTCCAAGTCGTCTTCTGTGCCGTCAGTTCGTTGACGCCCGCTGATTGTCCCAGTTGTCCTGTACCCAAAGACTGGGGGCAACTGAAGGGGTTGGCGCCGGGTGTTATCGTCGTCGTCTCGCTGGTCGTTCTGGTCGTTTTGCAAGATATCTAGCAAATTTGAGTTTTGACTCCAGCCAAGATTGTTGTTTCGGGAGAAGCCAAAGTCGTCTTGCGCTTGAGACATGAACGCCGTGAAGCCACTCAAACTGTTGCCCACGAGCTCGTCGTACTCGGCCTGGAAATTCCGATCAGCCATGTGCCGCGTGAGCTGGTAGTAGGTTTCGGCCTGGTCCTGCGTAGTGTAAGGCTCAGGCTCCCAGGGGTGTCGTCGTGAGGTGCTTGGGGAGAAGGTGAGGCGACTCGTGTCTCTAGAAATCGGCGGTAGTGGGGGAAGCCTGCGATGTGGTGGCAGGGGCGGGTAGCCGTCGTCGTTTTCGTCGTCGTGCCTCTGGGTACGTTGGCTCGGGTCTGGCCGTCGTGACGACATGCTTCGTTGGCGAAGGTTTCAAGGGCTCAGCGACGCACGCGCCAGGAGACAAACCAGTCTGTGAAAGTCTCCTGGTGCTACGCTCGTTACTATCGACGTGAAATAGGCGACGGCGGGAGCGGGAGCGCCTGTTCGAGGGGTGGGAATTATGGGGTCAAGTGGGATCGAGTGAAGGTGGGCGAGTGGTAGAGATTCGTGGTCCAGCTACCTGGAGGGTTATTGACCGCGGCGGCGACTGGAAGAGGGTAGAAGTATCAGTAGCCAGCAGATAAGGCGAGATCGTCGCACAGAAGAAAATGCGAGCCGGTCGTATGAGTATAACTTGGTCGTACGGGCTGAACCTCCTCCATCCACCGGAATTGTACTCACAAGGGTGGTGTATGCGAAGGGCGTTCGCTAGCCCAAGTGTTGACCCTCGTCGTAAATAGCAAATCGAAGAGTGATGGGAGTCTGGAGCTTGGTTTTCGTGCTGTAGGTGGCAGGAGCGGGCAGAGTATTGGTGCAGACAAGAGGGCCAGACGGAGCTGGCGCGAACGGCCGTCGATGCAGCTCGGGTTGTGTCGTCAGCAGGTCAGCAGAAAAGCAAAGATGGTTGGTTGATGATACAAGATGGAGTTGGACTGAAGTGCCGCTGACCGCTGGTGCTGGTACTGGTGCTGGTGCTTGGATATCCGTTCCAAGTCCCCCTCGACAGGAGGCGAGTAAATGAGCAGACAGCCAGTGACAGTGGTGGGATCGCCCTGCTGCACCCGCTAAAGAGAGACCCCCTGGCCCTGCCCATCGCGGGGTTTCGTACCTGTAAGAACCAGTGAGGCAACGGGGGAGAGGGGCGTCGGCACCAAAATGCTACGAGATACCTCGCATTAGTATGTAACGTTCCGCTAGACAAAGGTACCACTTAAGCGTGGCTTTAGCGCGTTGTCCGTGTTAGGGACGCCGAGGACTGTGTTCCATGCGAGCGTTCCACGTACCTACCTTACCGTACCAGGGCCGCCGCGTTAACAATTCTTCTGTCGAAGCTGCCTTCCTTGTCCAACCTAAGCTTGCTCTGTTACCTGCCTACTGCGTAGGTACCTTAGCCTCGACCTCAAAGTGAACCCATACCGTCCTCAGCCTTGCTTTGTGAGGTGAGAGGTCATACTCATATATCGCCATCACTTCCTTCTGTCTGATAATTTCTCCTTCTGGAAAATCCATCAACTTTTTTTCCCTGCTACTTCCGTCATTGGATGAGCGAAACCTGCGATACACCCTTCACATCTATTTGAAGGATCCAGAACCAGTCTCACTTGACGCGGTCTCACCTCTCAACATTCGCTTCATTGCACCAACTCATCTCACGAGCCAAACGACGACGCGCATGACTTACTGAGCTGCCTTGACGAATCGCGACTCAATCACGCAGCAAACGAGGATATCGTTCTTTCGCGACCTATACGATTTTATCAATCAACATCACTCTCATCTCACGGCTTCGTCATGGAGGAGCAAACGCAACCGAAAGAGACGCCGGTGCAAGAGACGCAGGCGCAGCAGCAGCCAGCACAGCAACCCGCACAAGAGACCGCAGCCCCGACTAGCAACGCGCCAGCTCAGGAAACGGCCCTGCCTCACATGCCTTTCCCCAATCCCTCCAACGGATTCGATCCCAGCATGCAAGCCGCGCCAATGGATCAGGTGCTCCCGGAAGCTTTGCAGGAGGTCATCCCGGGAGCCATGCCTGGCATCCTTCCTGGCATGTTGCCCACGGGCGAGATGTTTATGCCTCAGCTCCTCCAGCAAAACGGACAGCACCAAATCTTCATGGGCAACGATATGCTCCCAAACATCCCAGCTCCGGCACCAGGCATGAGTGCAGGTACGAACGCTTTACATGAGACCTAAAGGACAGACTGACACTCTACCAGATGAGATTGCGCTCTACGACCGTCAAATCCGCCTCTGGGGCATAAAGGCCCAGGAAAAGATCCGCAACGCCAACATCCTCCTCATCACAATGAAGGCCCTCGCCAACGAAATCGCAAAGAACCTCGTCCTCGCCGGCATCGGCTCCCTCACCATCCTCGACGGCGCCCCCGTTTCGGAATCAGATCTGGGCTCCCAGTTCTTCCTCTCCGAAGAGGAGCACCACGTCGGCCAGAACCGCGCCCAGGCCGCCGCCGCCGCCATCCAGAAGCTCAACCCGCGCGTCCGCGTCCACGTCGACGCCGAGGGCATCAAGTCCAAGGGCACGAGCTACTTCTCCGCGTTCGACATCGTCATCGCCACCGACCTCGACCCGGATTCCCTCAACATCATCAACACCGCCACCCGCCTGCACCAGCGCGCCTTCTACGCCGCCGGCACCCAGGGTCTCTACGGCTTCGTCTTCTCCGACCTCATCGAGCACGACTACGTCATCGAGCGCGACCTCGGCAACGTAGCCACCAAGCTCGCGCCCGAGACGCGGACCCGCAGCGTCGTCGCCGTCAACACCAAAAAGGAAGGCGGCAAGACCATCGAGATGGTGACCAAGCGCGAGCTCTACTCGACTTGGTACCTCGCCAGCGACGGCGCTACCCTGCCCGACGAGTACGCCAAGAGTGCGCGCAGGAAAAAGGCCGTCAGCCCCGTCATCTCGTGCCTGCGCGCCCTCTGGGACTTTCAGGTCCTCAACAGCGGTCGCCTCCCCAGCCACACAAAGGAGGATCTCGGCCTCTTCACCAAGCTCGCCACGGCCAAGCACGCCCAGCTCGGTCTGCCGTCAGAGACGCTACGCTCCGAGGTCCTGCGCGGCTTCCTGCAGAACATCGGCAGCGAGATGGCCCCCGTCACCGCCATCCTCGGAGGCCAGCTCGCGCAGGACGTCATCAACGTCCTCGGCCAGACCCAGCAGCCCATCCAGAACATGGTCATCTTTGACGGCAACACCATGGAGGCGTCGGTCCTCCCGCTCCACCCCGTTGGCGAGCTGGGACGCGGCCTCCTTTCGCTCGCTGCGCCCGCCGGTCTAATGCCGAATGGCGGGGGCCTGATGCCTGCTGATCCCAGCATGATGATGAGCATGGATGGCGTGGTAGACTTCAACAACCAGATCCTCACGCAGTAGAACAGTTTTGCCAAGGAGTGGTCTAAACCATTTGCGGTTGTGTGTATGTGTATAATAGTTTTTCGCGAGGAGTCGGAGATGATGGAAGAGGAAATTCGTCCCGAACATCTCTTTTCGCCGGTGCGGAAAAAACCTAAAATGGCTCGGATATATGTAATATCAGATACACTGTGGTCAGAACACAAAAATTGAAGAGGCTCACGCTCCATTTGAATGATATGCTCTCCGTGGAACTTCATGAACCTTTCAGAACTGAGACCCAAGTTTCCTCTTAAGGACCCCGCGAACTCCAAGTAATGCCGCTGTCTCTTTACATGCAAGTCTGCCGTATCTATGCGGAATCTTAGCCGTGGCTTAGAAAAGCTGTGGGTAGTACCTTCCATGTGAACAAACAAGCAACTGTTTCTGAGTTCTCTCTCTTTAGGTATAAATGATGGAAAACCACTCCCTAAAGCTGCTCCTCGACTTCGTCTATGATACATGTTATTATCCTAAAGGTACAGTAGGAGTCATCGCAACCAAGGGCAAGGAGTAACCACACACTTTTGGTAGCTCTCCGATTTCGCCTTCAAGCAATCAACAAGCTCGCCCTCGATTATTTGCTAAAAATGTTGGCAGCATCGCTTGCCGGACCGTACGGCATACACGAAAAACATACGGATCACGACTTTACTTTACAAGCCACGCTCAGGAGCACATTTCTCAAAAGCAATTCTTCTTTTCGTATTCATTATCATTCCAAATATGCTGGGGCACTATTGACCCCGGCTTCTCGGCCCTAGCTCTAATTTCATTCAATGAGCTTCTCCACGTGGCTTTTCAGCCCAGCCCCCCCTCTCTCTCTCTTTCTCTGTCTTTCACCCGCATACGGATGATACGAACAAAAGATCTTCATATGTGGAAGATCAATGTCCAAAGTGATGTGATAATAATACATGCTCTTTTCGCTTGTCCCGATCCGCTTGCAACACGATTCTCGGATCCCATTCAGGTTTTCTTGGGACCTGGCTTGTTGGCAGTCAACTTCTTAGCGACCGCCTTCTTCGTAATCGTCTTCCTGGCAGCTGTCTTCCTGGCAGCTGTCTTCTTATCAGCTGGCTTCTTAGCAGCCGGCTTCTTGGCAGCCGGCTTCCTCACTCCCGCGCCTGTTAAACCTTCCTTACTTGGGTTCAGCTCTGGCAACGTGAGATTCTGCTCCTAGCGGGACCCGCGTCGCTCGTCGCCGTTCTCATCTGTCTTCTGGCGCTGAATCCTATTATTGTTTATGTTCCAGCCCCGAATTTGGACAGGGCCGCGACGCGGAGGGGGTTCCGTAGGCGCATAGTCTTTGATGTTTTCCTTGTAGTCATACTGAACGGTTCGCAGTTCAGGGCCCTGAGGCCAGCCTACTCTGTGAGCAGGCAGGGGAGCAGGAGCCAGCTTGGGGTATTTGCTGTTTCCCTGTCCACTTGGAGTTGATGAGCCACTTCCAGCCCGGCTTCTAGACGGTTCGCCGGGTTGCTGCGGAACGAACTGGAGATTCGGAGGGCTTTGTGCCGGGGCGATGGATGAGTAAGTGGGAGACATGCCTGGGTGTCCGTAAGGTGGCGGTTGCTGTTGTTGCTGCTGCTGCTGCAAAGGTGGTGGTGGAGGTTGTGAGCCTGGGTAGGGTGGATACTGGTTCATCATGGGCGGCAAACCGGGTTGCTCCTGTGTGTATCCATTGTGGTATGGCCTGGGTGGCCCAGGAGGGTAGAATGAGCCACTGTTGGTGCTCATATAAGGTGGCGGCGGCGGTTGCTGCTGTTGCTGCTGTTGCTGCTGCTGCTGCTGCTGCTGCTGAATCTGATGTTGTTCGATCGGAACGCCCTGCTCTGGTGCAGCGGGAGCACTCTTGCGGCCTCGAGACGGTCGCAAAGGCGGAAGCGGCGAGCTCCTATCCTGAGAAGGGTTCGTGAACGGCATACGGGATGTAGAGCCAGATTGTTGCAGCTGAGGAGAAGTTTGTGCCATTGGTCCTCCTTGCATAGGCATGCTGGGCAAGTGGTAACCCTGCTGGCTTTGACCGTAAGCCTGTTGTTGATATTCATGATGTGCGGTCGAAGCATCCATCGGTGCAGAGTAAAGACGCGGGTCGATCATGGGGTCTGATTGCGGCAGGTGTTGCTGGTTATGCGGATGAGGCAAGTGCTGCTCGTTGTAGGCCGATGAAGCGCTGTGCTCGTGGTACATGGAGTGCCGGCGGGTATCGTTGGTGGCGTCAATCGAGGACCTCATTTGGGACATCTCGACTGGGCGAGCAGGGGGTAATTGGTTGGAGTACGGATCTCTCATCGACGGAGTCTCGATAGATGGATGAATTCGACCGTCTGCTCCTGGCGAAGCGATTCGGGGTTCAATCCAGCCGACGCTATCATTTGAAGGCGCGGCCTGGATGCGGAATTCAGCGGGAATGGGCTGAACCACATAACCAGAGTCGATGTGATGATGATGAGAATGGGGAGGGGGAGGACCATCAACTGGAATGGGTTGGCTGATGGGAACATCGGCCATGACAAGATCGACGGGCTGGGGAGGGTACGTGGAAGTAGAAGCATCGGCGAGGATTGCGAGCGCAGTAGTGTCGATGGGCTCCGGCACCAGGACGGGAGCTGGAGGCTCAACGGCAGCTGATTCTGACCCTCCAAATATGTCGCGAATAGCGTCATAAGCGCGGGTAGCAGGTCTGACTGGGGTCGGAGCGGGCAGGATCACCGGCTTCTCTTCGACAAGTTCCACGACCTTGGACTCCGCCTCGACGGCTTCCGCAGCCACGACCAGCTCCTCCAGACCAGCAATGTTGAGGGCCGAGTCATTCATAGGGAGGGGCGAAGTGGCAGGCGTATCCTCCAGACTCGCGGGCTCGGACTCCTTGATAGACTCGGCGATGAGTCGTTGCTCGGCATACTCTTCTGAGATTTCCTTCAGAGCCTTGAGCTCAGGTCCCTCAATGTCTTCGGGAGAGATGTCTTCCTTTTCACAGATGGATGAGAGAATTGCTCCCATTCTTTCCGAGTATGGCTTGTCGGCAAGAGCAATCTCGACCTTTGCGACGGGGACGACACGAGATGCATGGATAATATTGCCTGAGGGAGTAAGGAAAACAGTAGGATGCATCGGCTCTGCTTCTGGCTTTGGCGATTCAGAGTCATTTTTGCTCGTAGGCAGGAAGCAACCCAATCGGGGGTGAGTGCCGTGCTTCTGAACAAGTTCCAAGTCATAGTCTTCTTCGTCGAGGTCTCTAGCATCCCAACGAGCAAGCAGAGGATCAAAGTGCCAGGTGTTCGAGTTCGGCTTGCCGAGATACTTTCCACGCTTGGCGAGCGTAGCTCCATGCCTAGGGGAGTTGGTCGAATCACGGAATCCAATCTCGTCGTCATCGAACTGAAATGATGGAGGAACAATGAGGCGATTCGCGATGCTCGCTCCATTCTTGGCTGTCGGCCGGTTGACTTGTCTGCAACCGTATTCATCTGGCTCTGAAGCCTTTGCCGGCAAGGCGGGCTCTCTCTGGTCAGCGGTCAAAGGACCCTCAGGTACCGGCGTGCTCTCATTTGATTCGTCTTCAATGGGAGCATGCTGAGCCGACATGATACCGGCAATGTGGCGGACGGGCGCGACATCGGCAGCAGACCTTTTGGAGGCCGGCTGGCCATCCGGTTGTTGGTTGGCTTTGCGCTTGCTGGTTCGTCCCCCAGTCGCCGCCGCGGAAGGTGGCGCCAGAGTCTCCTTCGCCGTCTGTGGCTCCGCCCAAGCAGCTTGTCTCAGGGCATGGGCTTCGGTGCCTTCGACAAGTTGAGGATAGGGAACGAGTGCTCCGTCAACATAGACTTCGTAGAGGCCAAATTCTTGGGCTTCCTTGTCCGAAATTTGCTTGTAATTCCAGCCGGCGTCGACAAGCTGAGGCCAGTGTGAACAACCGAGACACGCAGAAAAAAAAATTTAAGAACAGAATGAACTTACGTCAACAGGAAGACCATGGTCATGAAGGTATTCCAGAAGGTTGAGGCGATGAAGCTGCGCATCCAAAAATCTGTCCTCCGCATCTTCAACTCCGTTCTAATGCCGCGGGTGACGTTAGCAGAAGACCAGGGGAGAGGAAAAAACATGACATATCAGTCGGGGCCTCACAAACCTTGAAAATATCGCGAACGGCGCCGAGCTTGGCATGTTTGGACTTGAAGACGGTTCTGGCGGCAGTCGCCAGTTTGTTCTCCAAGTAAAGGAGGGATCTTTCGAAGCGAGCGCCGAGATTGTCCTCGATGACTTTGAATTCCGGCACCTTTTTGTGGTAGTCCTTGTCATTTGTGAGTGTGTCGATGGAGCGCGAGGCCAGATCTTGTAGCGCTGGCTTCACGGCATTAGCGAGAGCCGCGTACTGTGCCTTGAGCTCGCGTTGTCGTTCATAATTTGCCTGGACTTTGTCGTCTGAGAACTGCTTGAAGCGGCCGCGTCGACCAGTGCCAGCTGTGGCTGCGGGTTTGGGAGGCTCCTTCTTAGGCGCGACAGCTTTTCTGCCCCGGCCTCTACCGCGGCCCTTGGCCTTGGGAGTGAGCTGAGGCGTCGGAGTCGAAAAAGACTGCTCCGGTGTCTCAACGTCTGACATGATGGCGATGGCCGTTCATGAAAGAGACGTGAAGACGGGGGAAATGGGGGTATGTGGAGGCAAAAGTGAGAGCGGGTATGGTGTAATGAGATGGGGGCGTCAGTGAAATGGGTAGAGTAAGGTAGAGGACGCGGTACGGGTGGGAGAATTGAGATATGAAGCGGCCGATGAAATCTCGGTCGATCTCAGAAAAGGCGTGAGCAGGCGCGATTGCTCGGGGTCAAGAAAGTGCTTTGACTTGAAGATGTCTGTAGGTTGTTGGCTGTTCGGAGAACAGGACCAAGGTGTGTGGGTTGGACGGGGATGGTAGTGGTGTGGGCTAAGAAAATGACAGCCGGCTGGCCTCTCTCTGCAACGAGCGGAATTCCTCAATGAGAGACCAGCTTGAGAGGGGAATAAATGGAATCAGGTTGAAGATGAGACTCGTGCGCAGAGATGGCTGTAAGAGTGAGCCAGCGTGAATGAGGTGTTGAATTGGGAGCGTGGAACGAAGATTGCTTCGCTTTTTTCCCCTTCCTGCCTTTTGCAAATAATACCAGGCGGAGCGCAGCAGAGGCAGGAACAGACGTGACCACCCTGCTACAGCGAGGCGGAAGGCAAGGCCCAGCCCAGCACTGTGCTGCACACACTTACACCGATCTGGTAGGAGTAGGCACGATTTGCCGCGCTCTGATTTGTCCGGAGGCCTGGAAAATCCGACGACCGGAAATAGCCTTCTACCCCTGTCGGCAAAAAATGGCAAGAGGTACCCGATACATGACGATTCTGCCATCTGGCTGTCCAAGGTGCTGTCACGTACCTTACTTTACTGCGTACCTTACTCCGTGCCTTGCACGTATCTGAGTGTAAGCCTTTTTCCTAAGAGCTGGCTCGCTCGGGTCTTCGTAACGGGCATTTGCGACTTGGCAGGCCAACAGGCGAGCATGCCAGAATCATATCTTTGGGCAATGATGAATGCCTGCGGTCTCACTCCCTATTTGACTGACAGAACCTGCACCGGTGAATACCTACCCTTATGGCTGCCTGCTTCTGCGTTTGTGTTCCCGTTGTGCGATGGCTTTCGAAGCGCGTTTGAGCACTCTGTACGTACCCAAATATCCATAGACCAAGGCATGACTACCTTACTTGTCCGCTTCTCTCCGACGTTCACCTGGTCCCCTTGGGCAGGAGCAGCATTTCTCAAGCGCGGTCGCCATCATGACGACGACCTGGAAATGATAGCAGTGAGGCCGGCCTGTCTCGACTCCTGTTTCTCGTCAACCATGCCCGCCACCTTCTTGTTCAAGATACGAATGGCTCTAGGTGTTCTTAAATGACGAAGCCACTTTGTAAATGCCACCCCAAGTGGATGAATAAGCAACAAATGTAAGCAGTATTTTCCATACGTTCATCGTCCTTGCTCTACACAACTTCCAATGGTATTGGTATTTCCTACCGTCTCAAGCAGACCTGTATCAATCAAACTTGACGAAGCAGATATTTTTGCCTCAATCTCGGGTACCTCAGGCTGTACGGACAAGTCGGACAGCCTGTCGGACGGGGCGACTTTTACAGGTCCTGGTCCCGTCCGGGTGGGCCTGTTGTTAAACCAGATCCCGAGCTCCAGCCGGACGGCTGCAAGTTCTTTTCCAGGACCCAGTGAGGTGCAGCTTTGTGTTGTTGTTCTGTGGCTGGTATGGCTGGCTCACCGATGAGTGTTCTGGGCATGATGCAACAATAAACGAAATTCAATTACGTAGATATTGAAGCAAGCACGCGGCTGTGCTATACGCGCTGCTCGGTTACTCACGATCTTATGGCGACCAGCAAATGATGTTAACTCTCTCCTGGAGGGTTGTACACAATCATAGTACTGGCATGCTGGCCTCCCTTACGGCTGCGATACCTACTATTCGTACTCCGTACACAGCAAGTCGCCAGTTGCTCAAGGTTCGGGAGTGCCAGGTAAGCCTCATTCATCCAAGTACCGGCCCACTTAGCTAATAAGAGCCACGCTAAGAAGAAGGGACGAACAACAACCACCATCAGACACCTCACACCAAACATGTACCCAAAAGCAATGGGTTCAATAGATCACACAGAGATGGGGTCTGGGCCAGTCCTCAGTGCTGTAAAGAGGAATACCTACTCTCACGAAGGACGACGAGGTGTCTTCCAAGTTCGATAGATCCGAGGTAGTCAGCTCCAAAACCTCTCCTCCCTGCAGCACCTGCAAACTCGAAGGTCCATCTCACGGCGCACGCCCGGGGTGCGGATGGCCCACGAGTCCCCTGGCGCCTGAACAGCACACTCTTCCTCCCGCGCACGAATTGTACCGGGTACCTTCACAGGTCCCGTCTCCCGCCGCCCTCTTTCTCATCAGCCCCCTGTAGTTATCCATAATCCGGTATCGCCCAATCCACTCCCCCGTACTAGGGGTCGGTTTCTAAGGAGGCCACTGACACTTGACGAGCTTGGAAAAAAAAAAAAAGCGAAGGGTTCCACGGCTGAACCTCGTCTATTCCCGAGCCGCCGGAGCGCGCCATGCCTGCTCACCGCCGTAGCGTCGCAAAAAGTCAAAAGATACGGCAGAAAGAGAGCCCCGGGAAGAGGACGGCAAGAAAAAAAAAGTTGCTCGGTCGCGGTACAACAGAGCGTGGGGTGCATACCTTACACACTCTTCCCACCCCCCCGGCGCCGACACGGGTAGCAACAGCACCGCCGCCGACCACCACATCCCACTTTGCACCGCGATACACGCCGTACGCCGGACGTCACCTCGAAAACCCTAACCCAGTTTACAACCACCACGAAACGGCCCGGACCGCGAACCCGGCTACCCATCACGCCGCATATTCCCTCCGCCGAGCCACCAGCCTTTCTCTCACAGCCCCTCGTCCGCCATGGCCAAGAAGCGGAAGCTCGGGTCGATCAACCACAAGAGCCACTTCGTGGACACTGTGAAGAAGAAGACGGGCGGCGCACCGCAGAACAACAATGGCAAGAACAACAACAAGAAGAAGAACCCAAAGAGCGCTCAGGCCACCGAGAGCGACGCCAAGAAGAAGAAGGCGCAACAACAGTATCACCAGAACCAGGAGCCCGTGATCCCGTTCTCCAAGGAAGATGCCATCCTGCTAATCGGCGAGGGCGATCTCAGCTTCGCAGCGAGCCTTGCGACGCACCACGGCTGCCGTAACCTGACTGCGACGGTCCTCGAGAAGAACGAGCGGGAGCTGCTGGAGAAGTACCCCCACGCCGTGGAGAATATTGCGCAGATCAACGGGACTGCCTCTACCACAAAACCTACCAAGTCAAAAGGAGCAAAGGGCGAGGGCGAAGGCGACGTCGAGAACGACCAGAATGATAGCGAGGGACCCGCCGAGGCCGAGTCACCAGAGGCAAAAGAAGAGGAGGAGGAGGAAATCGACGAAGACGACGACGAGAAATACAAACCCCCCGTCCAGAACAATAACAGGGTTCTCTACAACATCGACGCCCGCTCCATGAAACCCTTCACCCGCAAATCCGCCCCGAACCACCGCGGCTTCCACATGTCGGCCCCGACCAAAACCGGCATCTTCAACCGCATCCTCTTCAACTTCCCCCACGTCGGCGGCAAGTCCACCGACCGCAACCGCCAGGTCCGCTACAACCAGGAGCTCCTCGTCGCCTTCTTCACCTCGGCCCTGCCCAGTTTGGCGCCCAAGGGCACCATCGTCGTGACCCTGTTCGAGGGCGACCCGTACACCCTCTGGAACGTCAAGGACCTCGGCCGCCACGCGGGCCTGCAGGCGCTGGAGAGCTTCAAGTTCCATTCCCGCGCGTACCCGGGTTACAAGCACGCGCGGACGGCGGGTGTGATACGGGAGAAGAAGACGGGGGAGGCGAGCGGGGCGGCGTGGAAGGGGGAGGAGAGGGCGGCAAGGAGTTTTGTGTTTATGCGCAAGGACGAGGCGCCCGAGGTGCAGTCTACCCAGAAGAAGAAGAGGAAGCGCGGCGGGGAGGAGAGCAGTAGTGAGGACGAGGTTTCTGAGGTGGAAATGGAGGAGGAATTTGATGAGACCGGGGGATGGGTTGGCCAGTAACAGCCAGCAATGGAAGATGAGAGGAGGGACTGATGATGTCTGGCAGGAGAGAGAGACCGAGGACGAATCCTTTCATGGGCGATGAAAGTGCAGATGGAAGGCGTGAGCAGCGCCTAGGAACGTAATGCCTGGGATCGGCAGAGAGCGAGAGCTCGGATCTGGTGGCCCTGTATAAAGTCACAGGCAGCTCATTTTCTTGGTCTTCGCTTTCATTTCACACCCACCTCAGTCCCCCTTTGGATTATTAGGACGGTGAGGATGAGAACCCCTTGGTACAGAGGCGAAAACCCGAGTCTACGAGGAGGGTATATGAGGTATTGGATCTGCCACATTTCTTAGTGGCATCTCGCACTTGGCATATGTGGCATGGCGTTCATCATCATGGGATGGTCAAGTCGGTCTCCGAGAGGGAGAAAAAAGTTATCTGGTCTACAAAAGCAAAACGCAAGCCTCAAGGCACTTTAGATTAAAAGAGAGGAGAGAGGAAATACAGCAATGGCATCGGTGCTTCAATCCATCTTATGCCCCCTTTTCCTCTAATGTGAACAGATGTCACGCATACAGTAGAGAATGTAATGTGATTCATCTTTGTACTTTGAGGTCTCCATTCACATCCATTACTACTAGTTCAAGTTATGTTTCTTATCTGCCTTCTTTTCTTTTGTACAAAACGCCAATTGCCTGGTATGACTTTTTTTGTCGTCACGGTGCCCAAATCTCATTTGGAAAAAAGAACCCAATGCCCGCCCGTCGTTGGGGATGATGCCATGCCGCCCTATTCCCATAGTTTCCCACCACACCCACACCCCCCCAAAAAAGGCCAACATATGCTTGGGGGATTGGCGATGAAAAAAGAAAGAAGAAAACAATGGACACAATGGTCTAGGTACAGCTTTTTCACTTGGCCACGACCAGTTCTTTTTCTTTTCCATGACCGAAGATATCCACATTATAATCGTAACAAAAAACCCTGAACAAAAATCAAAGTATCTGAGAGATCCTTTGTTTTGTTTGGGTGGGGGTCTGCTGGTTCCCTTCCAGAACGAGAAAAATGCAACATGCCTGCTTATACATACAAGGCCGAGAAAGTTCCTTCACTTCGGCTTGTTCATTTAGTTGACGCCCGCCCCTCCGTTGGAAGTCGCACAATTGGGTTATCCCTAGCTTCCACGTACAACGTCTCAAGCCTGGCTTAGGCGTTGTGTCGTGGCTGTGTCTAGTGACCTATGACCTCTTGCTGCCGAGCCACTTCATTGCCGGTGTTGGTAATGGCGGACTCATCGACAGCGCCTCCCCCATTAACCGGGGGGTGACCGTTCAGGGTGCTTCCCATGTCCATGGCTTTGGTAAGCTCTTCTTCCAGGCGTTCAGACTCCTCGTTCTCTCGCATTAGGGCCTCCTCCTGCTCCTTCAGGGCCCTTTGTTCTTCTGACAGCGGCTCCTCAGAGGTAGCAGTAGGTGCGGGATCAGCAGGAGGTGGCGGGGGTGGAGGCGGTGGTGTTGCACCGTCCGCATCAAACTCTCTAAGGCGCTTCACAGATGGCTCATCTGAGGGAGTCAGGCTTTGTGACTCAGCTGCCTCCTCCTCACGCTTGCGTTTGCGCTCAGGACTACCCACTGATCCGCCTTCCTCATTGTCGGACAGCATAACGTCGTCGGCTGGTGATTCAATCTCCTTATTGGTCGAAGTGGCAGAGTCCTTTGACTTGTCCATGTCGCCTTCGGAAGTCGCCTTCTCCTTCTCGAGATGTCTGAACTTCACAATGGCCTTGTCCAAGAAGTCCTTTACGTACGCCTTGACCTTTCTAGCTTGCTTCTGGTCAAGTGGAGTCGTGGGGTCTTGGATTCGATTGCGCTTGTAGTCTGATGATACAAGTTTTTTGCAGACATCCTTGCCGAGTCGCTTAAGATCTTCCTTGGGCAGCTTGTGTCTGTATTTATCGACGACATACTTGACATGGGGGAAGAGCTGCAGAGAAAATTAGCAGGTGGTTAGGAGCTCAAACGAAGTTACACATACCGTGTTCTCATAGATCTTCATCTGTTTGTCGATGCTAAGAGAGCGCCACTTTTCCTGCTTATTCTCCTGAATGGGAGTCTCTGCGCGTTGAGGTGTCTGTGATGCCGAAGGTCTGGGGGTTTGCTCCTTCGTGACTTGATCGATAATGTTCTTGAGCAGCTGCTGCTCTTGCAATGCCTTGGGTGTCGACTTTTGAGCGTCGGCGGGCTTAGTAGGACGTTGCCAGGTGGTAGCACCGCTCTTGCTGTAAAAGTATGTGTTCCCGCGCTGATCCGTCGCTGTGAACCACCCGAGTGGTAATGCTCCATGGCCATTGAAGTTTTGGTGTCTTCGTTGACGCGGAGGGCCATTGAAGAAATGTGTGTTCCGTTGAGGAATGTTGCTTCGAGGTCCTTTGGGAATTTCGACATTCTGAAGGGGGTCAGGAGTCGTTTTTGCAGTCACATCCTCTTCGCGGTCCATGTTGCGCCTCTCTTGGAACGAATTCGTGGCAGATGTGTTGGGGTCAAACTTTCGCTTCCCAATGCGGTAACCGAGCTCCAATTTGGACCATTCATCCAACAACTTCTTCGACTTCGCGCTGACCTCTTCATGTTCTGACTGAGTGAGTACGCCAATGGTGGCTTCAATCTTTGAGCCCTCAATCTTGTTTCGGGTCAGTCGCGGGAACTTATCGAGGATATCGAGAGCTTGGAGAACGACGTTGTGGTCGTCGATAAAGGTGTTGAGTGTTGTCTTGAGAATCTGGTAGGCGTGCATGCGCATGACGGAGTGGATCACCCGCTCATCCTCACACTGCTGAATACGCTGCAACAGCTTGACGGCGATCCATTTCTCCTTGCACTGCATCAGAGTCGCCATGACCTTGCGCGCATCATCATCGTCGAGGCTTCTAGCCTGCACGCTGTTAACGTACTCCTCGTCGTCTTCCTCGGGCTTCTTTTTGCGAGGCTTCTTGGCCACCGCTGTGTCCCAGGCATCACCGTCGTCAATGCCGAGCGCCTCCACTGTAGTAAGGGGCAACTTGGTCGCCCGTTCGGTCTGGGTCTTGCCACCAATGAATCCAGTGCAATTTGACTCGCCACAGTAGCAGGGCTGGGGGTCGGCTCCATAGCGGTCAACATTGTAGTTGAACACCAACTCCTCACCGGCTTTGATTTTTCGCGAGGAGAAAATGCCCATGCGCAGCTTTTCTCCGACGACCCATTTATCGACGTAGCAATTCGGGTTGCATGAGTGGTTGCAGAAGCGCCCTAGGTTGCCCTTCTTTGTCGCATCGACGAATTCGTGCTTGGTCAGCGACATGAAGTAAAAATGCTTGATGCCCTCGTCATCGTACTGTATCATCCGTCGTCGGAAGGTTGGCTCGTTGATAACCTCGCCGATGTACTCGAAAATGAAGTCGTTAGCCTGCATATCAACGTTGGCGCGGAGGCCGAAGCCCTTCTTCTCCGTCTTGATGACTGAAACATCGGCGAACTGCTTCCGCTGAAATCTCTGATTCTGGCAGCCGTCACCACAGTTGCCGCCGCCAGCAAGGCACTCCATCTTCGTCGCCCTGTTGATGCAGTCGGAGTCTTCGCCGCACGACAAATTTTTTCCTTCATCTGCGACACGCGATTTTCAGTTAGGGGGCGCTCGCGATGGTTTCGCACAGCAGCGAGGGAGGGCGGGGGAACTTACGCCACTCGGAACGGCAGTCGCAGTCGAGAGCATCGTTGTCGGTCGAGCCCATGTGCTTTGATCCATACAGACAATCGGGTATGACCTGGAAGGTATTGCACGACTGCTCCGTGACGTCTGGCAGGTCGTGGAATAGAGGCGACTCGCGCTTGACGGGCTTCTGTGATGCTTTGCGGGAGAGTTTCGGTCGCTGCGTGCCTCCTGGCGTCGAGATGCCTTCACCGTTGGCCATGCCCTCACTGGGCGACATGCTAGCGGAGCGGGACCCATGGTTACTCTTCTTCTGCGCCGATGTTCTGCTTGGATCTCGCTCCATGTTGACGCCATTTGGCGCGACACCAACCTCAATCTTTACCTCCTCCATCTTCACCGTCGCCAGCGCTTCATCCTCCATCAAGCAAGTGCGGGAACCCTCGGTAGGGCGAGTGCGCGAGACGAGGGATGTGTAACGGTATTCGCGGTTCGTGTCGTCCAAAGTCTCGAGCAGCGGCGGTTGCTCAGAGAAAAATCGACACGTGGAAAAAGAGGAATTTGCGATTGAGCCAAGCCGGTGCGCATGTAGGGGCAAGAGCTGTTGTGTTGGGTGGGGAAGGAAAGAAGGAACGGGAAGGCGAGAGAGAGAAAACGGGGGGAATGAGTTGCGAGAGACGGCGACGGCGCGTTGGGTGGTGAAGCGATTACTAGTTGGAGCTAGAGATTCTCGGCATTGCAGACAGTCGCTCGACGTGCCGGAGATACAATTGGGGCTGTTGAGGGTCTGCGTGATATAGGATATGCCAAAGAAGGTCTGTTGGTTCGGCTGGCAGAGCGCCCGGAGAAGGAAAAAAAAAAGGTGTAGTAAATCCAGTACGAAGTCGCAAAGGACGGCGGACACTGGCGAGGATTATCTCACAGCACCAGTTTCCGAAGGTGCGCAGCCACTCAGCTCGTCGCGCTTGGGCTTGGGGTCTAAGAGCCTAGCCACTTCCCTGTGGTTGAGCCTGGGAGCACCGCCAACAACTGTAAGCCATTGTCAATCGCGGCCAGCACCCCGATCCGACCGGCGGTGCAAATTGTTCGGATCATATCTACCGCCGGGTCCCGAGGTCTGGCCTTTTGGAATCCGATCACAACTTCCCCAGGAATAGCATGCGGGAGATCTGCCCAATGGCTGCGTCTAAAAGAACCCCCACCATCGGACCCCAGCCGGTACGAGGGTACGTACGAACGGGATGTTTCTCTTGTTGGGTCCCACGTCACTGAAGCCATAATGAATCCATGATTGCCCAATCGCCCAATGCTGTATTCCGAAAGAGTACACCTAGCTTTACTTTTGAACCAAGCTCCAGGAGATGTTGATTTTGTTGGTTGTGTTCTTTCCTGCAAGGCTGTCTAGTGAAGGTTTCCATTTGTGACCTTGGAAATCGTGCATATTGCATGCATGCTGGCTGGTTCCTCGCTGTGGAAAGCGCAATGTCATGCGTGTAGGCAAGCTGACCCATCTTGGAACCCGTCATAACGAGTTGGATATCTTCCAAAATACAGCCCAAAGAGTTTAAGAGCTATGCAAACATTAATAAATATAAAGGTGCGAGACGGAATGGTCGAAAAAGACGCACCAATCGGCAAATTCATGCACAAGCTGGGATCATCGCAAGCAGGAAACTCAGTTTTGGGTTATTCCTCACCGACACTTCGCATCCACCTGGTCTCTAAGGTATTATATTCCACATAAGAGACACCCCTGAGCATTGTGAGTGCCAGATTAGGTCGGAGGCTTATCTGGGCCGGGTGGTATGCGGAGACGGTGAATCGGTAAATGTTCATTCGCCTCTACTACTACTATTACCACGTGGTATCGAGCATCAGCCAAAATTCGGTCAAAATGCATCGTATAGGAGACCAGAATCGACGACTTAGACCTACAGTCGAGCCACCCAGGCCCTCTCCATAGAAGAAGATTGCCAGTGAACCATGTTCATCCGATGGTCAACTACGTAGTCGAGTGCAACCTGCACAGCCCGACGGAGTTACTAGCGTACCGATTATGAGCTGCCGAGAGGATGTGAACAGGAGCCAAAGGGTAAGGGTAGTTCGAAGCAACATGATGCACGAAAGCTAGCGATGTGATGCAGCCCTCGCTGTGTGGCAACGATGCCGTCGCATGGAAGAGCCAGCTTGTAGTGGCCGTACCCAGCTTTGGGCATGCTCGACTGCTAGTGACGGCCGGCCTAGGTAATTTGCTGCCATCTGGGAACGGCGGAGCCATTTACATGGACGCGTTGTACATGGGTGGGGCCTTCCAGTGGGAGGATGCCAGCTCATTGTGCAGCAAAGACGTCGCTGAAGCCGGATGAAGTGGCCAAGGTGGGCAGTAGGTATAAAGAGGCGGTGGACGAACGCAGCGACCCAGTAAAGTGAAATCCAATCCGTCGACTCGTCCAATCCGACTCTCATTTGACCTGGTCTCATTTGACCTGGTCTCATTATTGTTGTCGTTGTCGTTGTTGAGCGCAAGTTGTGAAGCATATTGGGATTCTTGCTGATTCAGCCCCACCACGGATACATCGACATTCTTTGCCTTGAGGTCACATATTGGGCCGCCGCCCCGCGCGCAGCAATCAGCGGGAGGGAGATTCAGCCTTCAGTCCATTGCCCACTGAAATGCGGCGCTGCCTTTTGCTGCGGCTCTCTCTGACAAGCGGAACAATGTGACGAACCCGTGCCCTGTGCTGGCTCGGATGCCGGTTTTGGTCCATGATTGGCGCAGAGGGAATCCAGTGGTTTCCTGCCAGAGTCGGCAGAGGACTGGGCCTGAGTGTGCTGCGGCCAATGAGGGCGATGAGCTGCCACTTTGTCGCGGGCACTAGGATGCCCAGATATCCTTATTCGGTCGTACGTCGATCATTATTTCTTTGCTGTCTTTGTCGTCAAAAAAGACGTCCGATGTTTCAATGCTGAGGGCAAACGGCGCGCATTCTGTGAGGCGAGAATGGAATGACGCACTGCCGGCCTTTGAGATGGAGATGGGAAGGAACGACGAGAAGCGGCGCCTGCTGACGGAACGCTCGCCGAAGTTGGTGGGGGAGGGAAGGAGGGGCCGGCGCATCCCAATTCAAGCACACCTTCCCAATAGCACCGAATCGAATACACGCTGGACTGCAGTCAGTCACTCACTGGCGACGGCAGCGACATATCCTACGGTACTTATTTCTCTATCTTACCTCGACCTCAACACGCAGGCACAATCACAACTGTTGGCTAGTGCTGACGAATATCCTCACGGTCGACTTCATTTCTCATTTAAGCTTACGTCTCTGATTATGACCAAGCAGGGAGTATCATGCTTTCGGCCAACACCACGACAATGACGTCCTGCAAGTGGCAGCGACCCAGAGTCAGGCGCTCCATGTCGATCCACCGGATTGGCCAGCGGGCGCAACCTCTAGGAAGAGCCTTGAATCGCACTGCATCTGCTTGTGCATCTGCACGCTGCTCTCCCATTCCGCAGAGAACCGCTGCTGCATCTGGCTCATCTCAGCCCAGTGCTGGGCCACTAGTACCATGGCAGAGGGACCGTGCTGCACCGAAGCATGTGTGCAGGACGAGCGGGAGACAGGGATGGATGCTCTGTCGATTGCATATTGGAGACCAGAGGGAAGAGGAGAGCGCGCAACGCAACGCAGCGCACAGCTACAGCTACAGCGTATGCAGTCATATGTGATATTATGAGTGGCTACGGATACCTCCAGTGAGGATCAACCTGCGAGCTATTACGAGAGACGGACCCCATTCTCGAACTCGAATGCGATCGAAAGAGGCCCAGTTGAGGCCCTCTTGGTGTGCTTGTCGGCCAACCAAATGGAACCTCTTCCACTTTGGGGGACTGGTGAGACATGCGCAGGGAAAATGGCCAAGAAGGATGCGGTTGGTTGCCGACAAAAAAGCAGGAAAGCGGCGACGGAATCGGAGGCGCGAGAGGCGCGTGGGATAAAGCCACTGCCGGGGAAGACGAAAGAAGCCAGCCGCAAAGACAGCCCAGCCCAAGGACGGGAAATTCTGACGAGATAGGGTAGCATGGGATTTCGAGAGGCATCAGCGGCAGCGACGGCGACGGCGACAATGACAAAAGCATACAGGAGCTTCTCAACGACATCCTGACATGGACAAAGACGCACCCAAAGATGATGACTACGACGCCAGTCAAACATACCCATCACTCCCACACCACACCACACCACCACATTCGTCGTTGCGCTCTCAACCTGATTCTAGCCTCTCGATTCTCAACTGTTCGTATGCGCCTACAAGCAGCTTGCGCCAACTTTCAGCATCCATACCACCCACCAACTCAACCCACCTCCCTCTCTCTGTGTGTGCACTGCCTAGCGTCAACTTCCGACTAGATTGGCGGTGCAGTGTTAGTCCATCATCAACGGTTGGCGAACGAAAAAGAGCTGGTTTGCCGTCCAAGACGAAGCGGCCTTGACAATCCTCCCGGAAACGCTAAGTCGGCCTGTGTTCCTATTCGATCTTCTGCACTCCATTTCGGCTTCGACCTCGTCACCTAAGCAGACACTCCTCCCCGCCGGTCTAGGCGTTGCTCATTACAGACGGAGCCCTAATGCATGAGCCGCAGCCTGCCGTCTTTTGACAGTCATCGCCATCAGTCGATAGATCTGCGGGCATTCCCCAGCCACCCTCGCTCAGACACTGCAACTCTACACTAGGGTCATCCAACGAGGCAAAGGCACTTTTGGAGATACGACCGATTCATCCATTTTGCGCATGGTATCGTTGCCTCGAGAGGATTCCCAAAAATAAAGACTGACCAGAATACACTTCCCTCTCGTCATCACGGATCTCAAAACAAACAGTGTTCGCCTCGCCCGCTGTTCGAGTCCGAGGCTTACTACTAGAACTAACACCTTCCAACTCTCCGGCCTCTAAACCTTGCTGCGAGCAGCAGCCGGACCAACTTACCGTTCGGATACTAAACTTCAACTGAACCAGTACCCTGGAAGGTCTCCCAGACAGGCCTAATGCGTAACTGACTTCTCGGCAAACCTGTCTCGCTTGTTTCCCCCCCAGGCTGTCTCGCGCGCAAAACACACCTCATAAATGCGACCCCGGCCCTAGTCGCACCAGCCAGTCCCCGAGTGCGCGCCGTGCAGGCCCTCGTCGCAAAGTGGCCTAGGTCCCAGAAGCAAACGAAACAATCGAAGCCTCCACTTCCTCCTACACGGCCTGTCCAGGCTGTGTTGCCCCCCTCATTGCGCCTCGTCCAACATCCCGTCAACTTCGTTGTGGTGCGAGGTCTTCTTCACGGTGGCTTCGGGTCGAGAACGCGCGCTTGCGCCGGCCTGATCGCTTCCCTCTTCACCACGCGTTTCTGCCTTCTCACTGCGTCTCATCTTTATAGACGCAGCCGTCGACGTTCACTTCTAACGGTGCCAGCGGAGGGCTTACTGACGCCGCTTGTTCTTTGACCTTGCCGCAAGCTTTTGTTCTGCGCCGCCGCGCTTGCCTTTCATATAGGGTGATTGCTTGGTCACAGGACTCTTCTAGTCGACGGTGCCAGCTCTGTCGACACCGGTCGCGCGCTTTGCGTCCTGTCTCTTGCTATAGTCGTTTGCCTAGTAACTCATCGTCCGTCACCACCGGCTAGCACAGCCGATCCGCTCGTTTGCTAGAACCCCGCGTCGCAGATGCCTATCTCGTCTCGTCTCCGGTCCAAGATCTCTCTCTTTTATGAAATCCGTACGGGTAGTAATCAGCCCTTCTCACGATGGCTTACTCCTTTACAGAGGAGGAAAAGGTAAGCAGCAGGTCTTCATTCGGTCACGGACCATCGACACTGACGCGCATCTCGACGGCAGAGGTTCATCCTCGCGGAAGCCATCAAAAACAGCAGCCTAGATGTTGGCCCCTTAGTGGGGTTTTTGAAGACGCACAATGTCGAGCCAGACTGGCTTAAGATGCAGTTGCCCAGCGGTACGGATCGTCAACGTTGACGAACTCGAGGTTTCATACTGACAGTCACGATACAGGCCGCACTATGGGACAATGTCTCGCGGTCACCGAGCAGATGTTCCAAGGTCCCATGCGTGTCCCGGACCTCAAGCGGAAGTCCATTAACGACCTTCTCGAACAACCACCAAAGCGTTTGGCTGCCGCATCGCCTATGGAGCCACCAGCGCAATTACCACCCTTGGCCTCAGCAACGCAAGGCCTCGCAACCTACTCAAGCTCGATGCCCGTATCTTCGTTATTGCCAGCGCCTCCGCAGCTGCATAATCAACAGCTCGCCAACATACAGCCGCGACCCGCCGGTATGGAGATTGCCGGGGTGGCCAGCGGCTCTCGAAGCCCGGGCCAACAACAGCAAGCGCCGCTCCCGCGGAAACGAGGTCGACCATCACGAGCAGACAAGGCGAGACAACTACGCCCCTTGCTGCCGCAGCACCTTACACCTCTAGCACCAGCGCCCCGGCCAATAACTAGGGAAAGCCCAACAACACCAGGGGAGTTCGCCGTGTACAAATTATCGCCCGGTCCAGCTTCGGAGGCTGCCAACGAGCCAATAAGGCGAGGACGAGGCCGGCCAAAGTCGTTCGGCAGGACACAGTTGGTGAGTGGACACGATTTTGCGAGTTGATTCAAAGTCCTGATCCTGATCCTCATCCTAGGGCACTTCTACAGGTGAACAAACCAAGACAGAGTCTGGGCGATCAACACCAAGTGAATCATCACGCCAGCAATCTGATGACATACCTCGAGACGCCTACAACGAAGACGAGAATGTGTCGGATTCACAAAAGGAAAAGGCCATCCCGAATATTGGCCACTTACAACAAGAAGGGCTAGCGAGTTAGGAGTTCTTGACGAGCGTGGAGCGATGATGATTCGAAACCATCCATCCACTGCTACACCTTTGAAACTACGAGGCCTAAGAAGGCAAAGTCTCACCATGGCCGCTGTACGGCCCTCGATGTGTCAGTGACGGCATAGTACAAGACCTCTCCGGCTCAATCTATGCGGCAGTTGTCCGGTACAACGGATGTGTATTTCTAGAGCTTATGGCGTTGTCGGATTTTTTGTTCATCTTGTTTTGCATATACCGGCTATGGACAGAACAGGGCGGTTAAAGTAGGCTTTTTGCTTTTTTTCCATCTGGTTCAAGGAGTTCAGGGGAGAGAGACGTGTAACCACGGGACGTGGTACGTGGACCGGGCATGACGGGGAACGACGTGTACGATATGATAGGACCTGGAATGCATGGCCTCGTTTCCGCACGGGATGGGCATGCACATCTCGCGGGGGTTGGCCATTCCGAACCGCCAAGTGCTGGACATGAAAGTCATGTACTATGATGGACTGGAATTATTGTAGAAATCGTTTCATTCAAAGTGTCCTCTTGTGAACTTGTTTTGTTCTGAGACTAAAACTCATACGCTAAATCATGATATTGACCAGATGAAACCCCCAACCGCAAATAATGCTTCCAAGAAAAAAAAAAACACCCACATAACATGAGTCATATTTCAACCATGTTACTTGGGACTATTAACTTTTTTCCCTTTTCTTACCAAGACTTGACAATCTTCTCCAGGGCCTCGATGAGGATATCAGCGTGGTGCTCCTGGAAGATGAGCATGGGCCTCAGACGGACGGCGCTCTCGCCCGATCCGCCAATGTTGATGCCCAGCCCCTTTGCCTTCTTGAGGAACTCGTCGCGGCGCGGGTTATCAAAGGCGATGAAGGTGCCCTGGCCCTTTCCGCGGAGGTTGGCGAATTGACCGGGGTACTTGCTCGCCAGACCCTCGAGCTTGCCGAAGAGGTAGTCACCGACGCGGGCCGTGTTGTTGACGAGGTCGAGGCGCTCAATCTCGTCGACGATGGCGCGGAAGAGGATGGCGCGCGCAGGGTCGCCCATCCAGGTGTTGAACTGGCGGTAGGGCTTGTTGGGGCGCAGCTCGGGGTTTCCGAAATAGTAGCCCGCCGTCTGGGCCTTTTTGCTGAAGGTGACCATGTCGGGAGGGGTAGGGAGGTCCCAGTGGTCGTGGGCCCAGAACTTGCCCGTGGCGCCGACGCCGGTCTGGACCTCGTCGACGATGAGGAGGACGTTGTGCTTCTTGGTCACCTCGCGGAGGCCGCGGAAGAAGGCGGGGGAGGCGTGGTTGTCGCCGCCCTCGGACTGGATGGGCTCGACGATGACGGCGGCCGGGGGGATGTGGTAGTTCTTGATGAGGTGCTCCACCTCGTCGAGGGCGGCCTTCTCAGCGGCGGCGTTCTCCTCGACGTGCTCCTCGAGCGGGTACTTGAGCAGGGGGAAAGTCGCCTGGGGCCAGTCAAAGGCGGGGATGTCGAGCTTGTGGATGGGCTTGGAGCGGGTGGTGGAGAGGGAGCCAAAGAGGCGGCCGTGGAAGCCCGTCTTGAAGGAGAGGATGGAGAGGTCGGAAGCGCCGGGGGACTGGTTGTTCATGGCAGAGGAGGTCTCCTCTGCGGTGAACTCGACGTCCGGGCCGCCGCGCTCCTGCTGGCGGCGCCACATGAAGGCGGCCTTGTAGGCCGTCTCATTTGCGTCGGAGCCGGCCATGGCGGTGAAGACCTGGTCGAGGCCCTTGGGCGCCACTTTGAGGATGCCGGTGCGGAGGACCTCCGCCCAGTCTTCGGGGGGGAAGTTACCCAGGGCGGGGCGGTTGATGATTGCGTTGACCATCTCGGGGGTCTGGGCGACCTTTGCGAGGGCGGGGTTGTTGTAGCCCAGAGGAATAGAGGCGATTTGAGCGTAGCTGTCAACACTTTGTAAGTTTTGGGTCCAACATGGAGCTACAATCTCTCTCCTCTATTCCATTTCACTTACACATCGAGGAGGACGTTGCCGTCGGCGTCGGCAATGTAGTTGCCCAAACTCTTCTTGTAGTCGGTGAGCATGTTCAAGCTCCGGGTGTCAAAGACCTTGTGCAAGTCCTCGGTGGCCTTCTTGGACGCGGGACCGGGAATGTCGGTCTTGAGGGCCGGGCCGGAGGGCTCGCCGGCGAAGAGGCTCGGGGCGGCGGCCATGCGCGGAGCGGAGAGGCAGAATGCTCTGCGCGCAGTAGGCGTGCGAGCCGCGCGGGCGGCGGGACGCGCCAGGGACGCGGAGGCTCTGAGGAGGGCCATTGTGTCTCGTGTGTTTGTGTGTGTGAATGTGTACAAGTTCTCTTCTTCAGTCAAGTACTGAAGCTCCTCTCTGTCGCCGTGTCACCAACAGAGTGAGACGGCTTCCCTGGGGTAAGTGTGTTGCAGTCGGAAGCTTTGTGCGATATCGGAGGGAGAAGGTAAGAGAGGGGTATCAATTGGTCAATCGCAAAAGAAAGATGAGCAAAGAGAAGTAGGAAAGCTGCCAACAATGTTCTGCGAGGCGGGGGAGGGGGAAGACCAAGTTTATAGATTACGGGTGGCAGCGGCTTATCACTTTGATAATCTAACGTAACTCGACGCCGCGTTGCCGTTGCCGGTGGTGGAGAGCAAGTACGGATACACCTTGAGGTAGGTAGATAGTAGCAGCAGCAGCCGCAGTAGCGCATGTAGTACGGATGTGTCTTGTTTTGAGCTTTGGTCCCCTGGTCTGGTGTTGAGTCAAGGTAATGTACCTTTGCCCTTGGATTTCCTGACCGCAACGACCAGACCGAGCGCCACTTCCTCAGCTTCCTTGCTGCTTGCCTATCTAGTATACGCAGTAAGATAGGTATCTTTTGCTGGCCGGGGGAACGAGCTGGCACGGCGGGCTAAGGTAAGGTAGGTGGGCAGCTACTAGCTAATGCAAGCCCGGCAAGGTCTCTCAACTCCCAGCGAATGCGATGACGGGGAGACCTGCCAAGATTACGTGCCAGTCGAGGGAAATGCGGGGCAGATTGAAAGCTGGGGTCCTTGGGCCTGACCTCACACACACATAGCAGTGACACACTGCCTGGCTGAGGTACCTTACCTTGGTACACACGGGCCTTGGTTTGGAGGGGTAATTTACGCCGTTTACGCCGCCACCGCCTTCTCTTCTCTCCCTTCCCCCAAGTACCTTACTCCCGCCGTAGATAACCTGCGGCAAAGCCAGCAGCCGCTCGCGTAAACGGCGTGAATAGGCAAAGGCTTATTGCTTTTGGCAGGTAGGTCCTCTTCAGATCTGAGAACCTTACGCTCGGGCAGACATGCACTTTCCAGAGAATCAACACATTCGGCAGGTGTAAGTAGCTTGCGTTAGTTCCAAAAAAGCTCGGCCATGTTCATCCTGATACAACGAAGCTCTGTTGGAGCTTGGATGCAGCAGGTATCTTCTCCTCCTGGGTAAAGGAAGCGCGCTACCGCGGTGAACGTACCCCAGATTTCGCCCAATCGGTTCGCTTTGCGCGCAATCGCCTCCAAGTTGGTCTTTTATGCCGTCTTTGCCGCATCTTCAGCCTCATACACATTTTCAAACTACTTTTCGCCACATCAACTCTCTTCTCCTCCAGGTTTACCGGTACGATCCTCCCAATTCATCCCCCAAACCTTCGGTGTCATTCTGTTGTAGTGCAATCACACATTAGGCGATAACCATCGGCCCCATTGATAGAGATACCTTGATAAGAATGGAGAATAATTCCTCCTCCCAAAGTGGAAACGAACATCTCCACCACCAGGGGCAAATCTCTGGGAACTACCCTTAGCGCTTCACCGAAACAAAAGCCCCACCAGCCGATGACGGGACCGGAGGACCGGAACCGGGAAACGTTGCCGGTTCTCGCGCCATAACCAAAGAGATTAAATTTCGCCCCTCCTCTCGCAGTCGGCACATATTGCCTGCTCGATCGAATGTACATATAGCGAAGAGCACTGGAATTACAAGGTAACAGGTCTCGCATTACCCTTCCGCTCCAGTACGATTGTTCTGCCCGATGGCGACAAGCCCGGGCTAGGTCAGGTCGGGTCGAAGCCGGACATATGACCCCACTTCGGCGGCCGGGGGGATGCGTGCCGGATGCCGAGGGTCGTTTTCGATGACTGGCCACCGCCCGGCCTGCGAAGGACTTCGGCTGGTTGGCTGAAACATCGATTCGATTACCTCGCATCACAACTATCTCAATCAATATGGTAGTGAAAGATTAGGAAATGGATCTTTGTCCGCTAAAATTACTCTCGTGCATTCGTCGCGACGATGCTCTTTATGTGCACAATAATCAATCTAGCCTTTCCCAAGTATTCTGTCCTTCTTTCCCGGCCAAGGGAAAATGCTATACATCCAGGTTCGAGCACAGTCGACCACCCAGGAATGCTCTAGGAGACAGTGACTGGAAGAGAAACATGATGTAAACGCCATACCCGGATACGCTAAGCCGCAAGTACCGAAACGTGGGCGGTATGCAAAAACTAAAACAGACTTCCTCCGTCTCTGACAAAATATCCAAATATGTCGGAGGTGAAAATGCTGACAAGGTGCAAAAACATGATGCAAAAGTGACTTGAGCCCAAAGTTCAGGCTCGTTGCTCCAGAAATGAACATTGGATCAGTGGCCCTCCTTCTCCTCAAGATCCCGCATGTATCTCACGAAGCTCTTCTTATGCACCTGAAATACGTTAGCCACCAGACCTCATCAAAAGATCATAGTTTTACACACCATTCCTGCGTAACGTCCATTCTTCAGAACACACACGAAGCGCAGACCCAGCTTGACAAAACACTCGTAAACGAGATCCATGGGGGATCGCATGTCCAAAGCCACTGGTGCCTGTTGACGAGAATTAGCCTCGATGTCACTCGCCAGATCAAGTGGCTACTTACAGGGTCGATGTAAGGAGTGAAGTCGGTCTTGTCCAACTCCCCATCATCGTCAGAGTCCTCAATGGTCGCAACTTGGGCCATCAAGCACATGCTTGATGCTTCGTCATCCAAGTTATCGAGGGCAAATTCCAAATCTGGAGCCGGGATCAGGCCAACAAGGATTCCATCCCGGATGATGGGCAGACCTCCATCGATCTCTCCAGCTCTGTGAAGGGTCTGCAACTTGCTGCGAAGGCTGACTGCAGACACCACTGGAGAGGCACTGATATCAATGACGCGTTCACGCCGGACACGAGGAACGATGTCGGCAAGATCCGAAGTGAAGATAGGCTTGTGCTTGTTGTCCAAGAAGGGGTACGAGTTCATGTTTGTTAAGAGATCCTATTAACGTCAGTAGCCGCCCAAATTCAGGGCGATTCTAACTTACGTAGATGCTGTTTGGCTCAATGGCGTCCGCAGTCCACTTGGCCACTAGAATAGCTAGAGAGAATGGCAGTACGTAATCCAAGCTGCCGGTGAGCTCGAACAGAATGACTGCAAGTGTCACTGAGAGCCGGGTAACACCGCACATGGTTGATCCAGCAGCAATGAGACCATACACTCCGGGCTGGATGCAGGATCCCGCCTCCTTTGCGGCACATGCACCCCACAACCCAAAGTCGGGCCAAAGCAGAACCATGTACTGCACCACATGGCCGACAAGTCTGCCCATGAGACCACCAACCACCATGGATGGGACGTAAATACCGGCAGGAACTTTCTGTGAGGGTATTAGAATGGTAGTCAAGTTGAGGGGAAGAAGTACACACAATGCCAAATGTGATGATCGTCAAGAAACCCTTGATAAGGAATGCGGTAAAAAGGCTGAGGAGCACAGGTGGAATGTCGTTCATGGCGGTCGGGCAGAGGCCATAGTCTTCGCGATCGGACCCGTCGTGGCATGGGGCCGCAAGGTTAAGCATCAGTTTGGCAACGGGTTGCTTCGTGTGAACATTCCAATAACTCATGATACCGGTAACGACGGCAACCAGAAGTACCTCGAGCATTGGATACGTCTTGATGAAAGTGATTCTTCTGAATGATTTGGCCCAGTGCTTAGAGGCTTTGATGAAAAGCGCACCAGCAGCACCACCGAGGATGCCGATGACGATGTAGAAGACGATCTCAAAGTAGTGCCAATCTGCCACATACTTGACTTGGAACATTACAATCTTGTGTGTGCCGTAAGGGTTGAGAAACTTGAGCGATAGTGCGGCAACGATGCAGCAGAAAAAGGTGCGGAAGAGTGTCTTGGCTGGGAAGAAGTATGATACTTCCTCGAGACCGAATAGAACGCCCCCAAGGGGAGCGCCAAAAGCGACGGCAACACCTGCAGCTGCAGCTGCAGACAACACCTCGCGCCTCTTGGCGTCGTTCTTGTCATACTTGGAAAAGAGACGGCAAGCAATATTTCCAATGCAGGTAGCAATGTGCACGTAAGGGCCTTCTTTGCCGAGACTGAGACCAGACGCTACACTGAGAATGAGTGCGGCAGACTTGATTACCAAGGTTTTCACACCAAGGAAACCGTGCAAGACGAAACCACTGAGAATGACACGCACTTCGGCCACGCCACTCCCGGCAGCAGAGTAATATACCATTGGGGGAGGTACGGCGGCCTCAATCGCCTCGACGACTTCTGGGGGAGTCGGGCTCTCGTCACTCGTCGGTTCGTCTGCGTATGGCGCAAGCTCTGCCGCGAGGTTTTCGTCAAACGTCGTCATCCGATACGCCGAGGGTACCACAGTCTTTGTGGTCAAAGTCATGGCACAGGCTATGCCAGCCAAGACAACGCATCCTACCAAGTAGATGGTGAATTCGGTGCCTACATCTCCGAATGGCCAAAACCTCAGGACCTCGGACCAGGTCCGCCAATCTTCGCAAGGGCCTTGCTTCGGGCAGCAATTCTGAACACAGGGTTAGCGTCTTCTCAAAGTCTTTGGGTGCTCCAAACCATACTCTCTCGCTGATGTACCAGCCCCGCGCACAATATCCGTACTTGTAATCGAAGACAGTCGCTTCCGATAAGTTGACTACGTAGGCGACGAGGGCGACGATGAAGCCACATAGCGCACTCAGAATCCATCCTTGTGAGGCGTCGAAGATGGCATATAACCTTCCCCGAAAGTCCTTGCGCATCTTCAGAGCCTTGACTCGGTGGGCATCGATAATATTATCATGGACCCAGTCGGTAGATGTAAACTGATCGTACCATACGCGCTCGTTGGGTTGTATTGATCGTTTCGACTCGCTCATCGGATCGGGAAAGTCGGAGAAGGCATGTGTGAGGCGCTGTCCCAAGGACGGGTTGCGACTGTGATGTAGACTTCTGATGCTTCCTGGGATAGCGAGGGTACAGGTTAGCCTTTTTGGTTTCTCTGTCTCCTGATACAGCATGTGAAAACATTGAGACCACATACCAGCAGTGCTATGATTTCTCGACAGGCCCGGAGTTAGATACTTTGGGCTCTCCGGACCGGATTGTTGAAGACGCCTTCTTGACCTTGCGCCACCCAGCAACAGAGGGGAGCGCTCATCCGGCTCTCCCCCGACCGAGCTTCTCCGAGAGTCGAATCTCGGTCGTCGCGTACTCATCGGCGAGGGAGGGCCTGAAGGCGCGTTGTCGTCCGGTAATTCCGCCATACTTGAGCTGACTACGCAGTGGGTGGGTGTGACGACGGCTCGAACCGTTTGAGTTCTGGGTTTTGTTTCGAATCCTGAATGATTCGACTCAATCAGCAACTTTTGGCGGCAGGCCAGGCAAGGTTGCTGTTAGTTGGCAAAAGAGCGGAAGCTTGCAGCTTTTTGGCAAGATGGGATAGCACTCGACGCAGTCAAGTAGTCTAGACTATAGGCTTTGGGAAAGCGATGATCAGGGGTAGCAGCGGAAGCCTTAAAGAGAAGGCCGTCCTGACAAGCAAGCTGGCTGGTTTTTAGGCTGAAGCAAGCTGAAGTTTTAGCACGTGAACCTAAGATGGTGAACTTGGTTGGTGTTCCAAGATCCAAGGCTGCAGACAACCTGGAGCACAGCAAGCGCAAGGTTCGGGGAGGCGGGAGACAGGATCACGACGTGGGGTTCGGTGTCAGATGCGACGAAACGTGTAGGCGGATGACTATCGCGGGCGAGACATGTTCCTTGGCGTGTATACTGCGTCGCCGGTTGTGTAGACGGCGGGGCCGGAGGAGAACGGTTGAGGGTGGGAGGAAAGAGAAAGAAGGAGCAGAAGAAAGATGGTCAGGGGAAAACAAGAAAGGTAGCCATCTACTTGAAAAGAAGCTGGAGAGAGAGAGAGCCGCAAGGGCAAAGAAATGTGCCCCGATACTTTGAAAGCCTACGGATACTCCGTACTCTGTACAAAATAGCCAGACGGGTGCTAGAAGGTGCGGCAGGCCTCAAGATGGAACTGTCGCCCGTCCACTTTCCCGAATGCCCCCCAAGGGACCCCAAGGGACACCAAGGTTGGCCAGGTTTGGGCTGTGCACCGTATTTGCGCCGGGGGCACGCGCGGTAAGTTGCAAGAGCGTGATCCACCCTGAGCAGTTTGGCAGTGCCGCAAGTGTGTAAATAATTCGTAGCGGTGGGAGGGCGTTCTTGGCTGTGAGGTCATTTGGACCGGGTGACCCTTAGGGTGGATGTCGCTGTAAGACATTTAGGCGCAGTGATTGGCTGATGCCTAGCGCATTTCCCGCCCAAACGGTCAGATCGACCGAGGACCCTGAGATTGCACCATTGCGGCCGTCTCTCTTCGGTCTCTTTTTCACTACCTATTGTCCCTCCACTGCCGACCGCTCCCTTCCACCGCCTTTCTTCAACCTGAAAGGCACCAAAGATACCCCATACTCAAAGGGAGATAGTAATACGGCAGTTTGCCGTGCTTCCAAGACGCAGTGCGCCGATGCCTACTGCGTTTCCATCCATACCGCCTTCCTCCAGGACATCATTCCGAGTGCAATCCGTATCCAATCCCACGTCTGCAAGGTGCGTGAGTCAAGCGACTGTCAATCCCGAATCCCACCCTTGTCCCGTTCCAGCGCCTCAAGTCTTCAGTCACGGGTCGCTCTCCACGTCCCCATCCTGGAATGTTCCGAACTCTGCCCATCCTTCATCCAATTATCCAACCTTCCAACTTGGTGTGGTGCTTCGATTGCTTTGGTGTTAATCCCATGTTGACCGACACTAGACTAGTCCCAGGAGCAGTCAGCCAGTCTTGGTCAGATTAAAACATGACACCCTCATCAACAACGACATCAAAGCCATCGCCATCGCCCTTCCTGCCTGTCATCTATTTTCGAACAGACCGGTAGATCCGTTTAATCCTCGTTTCCGAATAATTGGATTCAGAAACAGAGCCGAGGCCCATTAGAACCAAGATCCTGGGCCTGGTCATGTTTTCATGGTCCTTCCACTACCAGATGCACAAGTGAACCCCAGGTGCCTTACATAAGATGGGTAAGCCAATCACATGCCACGGGGGTAGTACCCATTTTTCCCTACCGTTGAAGGCGTCCAGTACCAGCCCCTAGCTCCGTAAACTACACGTGCCTCAATTTCTCTAACGGTGAGGTGCGACGCTGCGTGGCTGCTACCGTTCGATTAAGGTTGCGTTCTGTATTCTAATCTCTACCTTATGCGCGAGGTCGATCACTGCCAAACCCCCACGTTTCCTTCCCAGCAGCGACAATTGCCCGTTTCCGCCACCGTCAAGCTAACGACGCGACACGCGTCACGGTATCCTTGACGTCGTTCTAGTTCATCACCGTATCCAAGTGCCATCAGTGCACACCCCACATATCAACTTTCACAACAGGGCATCAGGGCATCAGGGCGTGCTTCCAGTCAGTCGCTTACATTAGCAGGCAGCCACGGCGCCGAGTTCACCCTCGGTGCTAATCATGATTCGGTGAGCTGCCGACCGGCGTCGTCGTCGATATGTCGGAGCCTGGGGATAAAAAGTTGACGGTGCCGAAGTTCTCGTCGTTCAAGCCCAAAGCCCCGGCTGCAGCATCACCTTCTTTAAGTGAGCGTACACGCGACCGGAAGAAAGATAGAGAAGAAAGGCCCAAAGAAGAACGAGCCCGTCATGAGTCTCGGCGCCACAATGACCGTTCGAAGCATGAATCCGAGCATCGTCGGCAACATCGCAAACGAAGTCGGAGTCGCAGTGCCAGTCAAGAACGAGCTCTAGTCAAGAGAGCTGAGGTAGCACCCGTTCTGAAAGACAAGCCCGGCGATGGCCTTTTCTTCTTTGACAAAAAGGGCGACCCCTTAATCAGAAGATATGGCGGCAATTATCGTTCTCGCGTGCCCCTGTACCGCCGCAGTGGCCGTGGACGAGTCTTTGGCTCCGATGGGTATTTGTACATCCATCGAGACGGTCCGCAGGAACGCTTCAGTATTCGCCAGCCGGGGGAAGGAACCTCGATACTGCGAGATCGAGCTCTTTTCAACTCCAAGACTCACCGTGCAAAGCCGTTTCGTATACGCGTACGCAGCAGTCCCAGTGGCACCGATATACATCTTGTTGAGGAGGACTTTGTTCCACTGAGCAAGTCATCGAAGCGACAGCGTGTTGAGGAGCCGGGATCATCAGAGGACGAGAAGACGGCGTACAGGTCGATCAAAGGCAAGGCAAAGGCTCATGAATTTTCCGACAGCGATATCGACTTCGATTCAGATGCCGAAGATGGCGAGTTCGATGTTGGATCCGATGATCCCCTGAGACAACGGTCGATTCAATTGTCCCGTCGGGTCAAGGAGCACCCTGGAGACATTGAAGCCTGGTTTGAACTGATCAATCACCAAGACGGGCTGCTGAATGCAGGCGGTAGCCTGGACCGAGACGCCACCAAAGCCGAGGTTCACAGCTTTGCAGAAATCAAGATATCAATGTTCGAGTCTGCCCTATCTCACGCAAAGAAGCCCGAAGATGAAGAACGGCTTCTCCTTGGCTTGATGCTGGAAGCTGCACAGGTTTGGTCTTCCTCAAAGCTCGAGAGCCGATGGGCGGACTTGGCAAAGAAGCACGATGATAGCTTTTGTCTATGGAAGGCTAGAATTGACTACAAACTTGCGAATTTGGTTGCGTTCCAGTACAACGACATAAAAGCCCTGATGGTCGACCGATTACAGACCGTCTACAAGCAAGCCATGGTGTCAGTGTCGCCTGGGCCAAGCCGCCTGGCAAGTAACGCAGAGACTCAGCGCTACGAGCAGATGGTCTATGTATTTCTCAGAACGACCAGGGTCATGTACGATGCTGGCTTCCGCGAGCTCTCAGTCGCAGCGTGGCAAGCGCTCCTGGAACTCAACTTGCAACGGCCAGCGGACTGCGACACCATGGCAGAACTTCAGATAGTCAGTTTGTTCAAAGACTACTGGGAAGACGAGTCACCAAGAATAGGAGAAGACAATGCTCTCGGCTGGAACCACTACGTCCAGATGGATGGCGTTGTCGACCCTCCGGAACCCCGGACAGACGACGATACTGTCCCCAAGTCGCGAGACGTGTACAAGTCCTGGGGTGCAACGGAAAGGCTTCGAGCAACGAACTCAAGGAACCCGGCACGAGCCACCGACGATGTCCTCGAGGACGATCCTTACCGTGTGGTCATGTTCTCTGACATTGAGGAGTTACTATTCGTGATACCGTCGGAGGTTATATCCTCACTTTGGAAACCCCTGGTTGATGCCTTCCTGCTCTTCTGCGCTTTACCCACTGCGTTCCGGACCAGCGACTGGACGGAAGCTGCAGAGAACGACCCAGTGATTATGGGCAATATGAGGCTATTTGAGAAGGACGTACTCCAGAGGCCCAACGAACCCGACGTTCTGGATGAGACCAAGAGAGTTCCGGTATTCAAGCAAGACGTATCTCGGTACGCACTGTCGGCTGATTTGTTATTTGCTGGCCCTGTGTGGTTCTCGCCGTTTTCCGGATGGACCAGTACCTCCAAGGAGTCTGACGGACCCGTCTCCATGGCTGCGGTCTCGAGCACTCTTCGGTTGCTGCTGAAGTCAAGAAGCTACCAGGAGCTGACCGAGTATTCTCTGGCCATTGAAGTCGTCAATGATCCCAGCAACACCAAGAAACGCGCGAAAGCGTTCATCAAGCAAGATCCCTCGAATCTCAGGCTCTACAATGCTTATGCGCTCGCCGAGTTCTCCAACGGCAACGCGGGACTGGGTCTCCAAGTCGTCGGTTCAGCCACCGGCTTGATTACCGTAAGTGCTCATACTGCAACAAAATACATTTTTTTGGCCGGGTGCTAACGATCATCTACTAGACCTCCAACAGCGCTGGTGGATCGATGTTGTGGAATACCTGGGCTTGGCTGGAACTTCACGAAGGGAATAATGCACAGGCTTTGGTGCGTATCTGTGCTGCAACAGATCAGTCCTTGAGAAGTGCTCCTGCAACCACGCCTTCTCCTTCACAACTTCTCAAGGCACACCAATCACTATCGGCTACACTAGAGCATCAAATGTCTACAAAGCAGCTCGATGAAGCTATAGCTACCGCGGAAAGCTTGGCATTGCTGGCCTATCTTACAGCCAAGGAAGGATCTGAGCCTACGTCGGAGGCGCAAGGAAGTATCTCGGCTGCGATGGAGAGACTCTGGACCGCGTCTTCAGAACTGTGTGCCCAAGGTCAGACCAAGTCGTCGACGCATGAAAGACTTCTTCAAGTCGCTGCGAGGCTTCTTTACCACCATGCAAGCCGAGGGTAAGCATGTCCCAATTCCTCCAAATGTCTCAAAGCTAATCTCAAGGCAGACCATTCCGACGTGCGTATTTGCGAGATCAGCTCAGGCAGTGCATTGAGTTGTTTCCACGCAACACAATCTTCTTGAGCCTGTTCTCGTGGGCGTCAACCATGTTCGGCATTGACGACCCTGTCCGTGACATCCTCCGAAAAGTCGCTCTCACGAACGCCAATGACAGCATCAGCAACCGTGTCTTTGCCATTCGATATGAGCTGCAAAGGGGCAATGTGTACTCCACACAAGCAGCCTTTGAGCGGGCACTAGACAGCCCGACATGCAGGTCCAATCCCGATCTGTGGCGATGCTACATCAAATTCAGCTACGCGAGGCAACAGCTTAGGCCCAAGGCAAAGGACGTGTTTTTCCGAGGTCTTCGCCATTGTCCGTGGTCAAAGGAGCTGGCACTCGAAGCTTACACGACGCTCGTCAGCGTAATGGACGAGTTCGAGCTGCGGTCCGTCTTCAACACGATGTCATCCAAGGGGTTACGGGTACATATTGATTTAGACGAGTTTCTGACCCAGCACAAGAAGACGTAAGGAGGGACCCAAGGGAGCCGATTGAAAGAGGAGCGGACAGCGAGCCCAAAGAGCCCGCCTAGCATAAGAGTAACACAATACATTGGTGAATGCTATGACTGTGACTGATGAGGTGATTCAAACGGTGAGGGATGATACACCTGCTATTCATCAATTGTATATTGCTGCGGCAGGCTATGAACGGTCCAATGGCTGGCTCTGTGTGCTTATGCAGAGACCATCTCGGCTCTAGAATGCAAAATTGCAGGATTAGGACGAAGAGTCACAGTGGCAATGCAGCCGCGGCGGAAAGGGACCTTGAAGGGGCAGGTTTTGGCTTGGTTTGTAATAGGAACCGAGGAAATGTGAGGTAGTGTGGTTCTGATGCGGAGTGACTCATCAGCCATATAGCGACAATTGACTCTTTTTGTGCAGCCCGGGCGGTTTGAGGCGAATCAGGGTCCACACAGCTCGCTCGGTGTGCCCCGCACTGCCCGGCGCCCCTCCCCTCAATGGAAAGCAAACCTGGAAGCCCAGAACGGAGAAGGCAGAGCGCATTGAGTGTGGTGAAGAACTGGTGCTGGGCTGGCAGCGGTGGTCGACCTGAGCAGCTAAGGTAATTGCCCCACCTTGCTCTCTATCGATTGTCGCTTTTTATTAATTGCGACTTCCGCCACTGCAAAAATTCCATCATCAACACCACCCTCACGACAAGATCCTTGACGAACGACAATTTTTCCGCACGACCACGCCAAAGGGTTTTTTCTCTCTTCTCACGAACGAAGCATCTTTTACGAGCCTTTATAGCCGTAAGAGTCTCATCACCTTCAAAACCCCCAACAATCAGTAATCGAGTATCCCCCGAACAACCACAATCATGGCGGTGCGCGCGCAATTCGAGAATTCCAACGAGTAAGAGAACCCCGCCGGATCGACCCCGCCATTGTGCTGCACGCTTTTGCTCCAACAACCCGCACAATCCGCGATGCTCTTTGCCGTAGAACCAGATGTGCTGACGCGAGACCCTTTTCTCCTTTTAGAATTGGTTGCTTTGCAACTCTCACCAACTCTTACGCCCTCGTCGCCCCGGGTGCCAGCGAGAACTTCTACAGTGTATTCGAGGCCGAGTTGCAGGGTGTCATCCCCATCTGCAGGGCAAGCATCGCCGGTGTCCGCATCATCGGCCGGTTAACAGCTGGGTAAGCAACAAGCGATGGGTTCTTTTGGGGGTTCGTGTGTTTGGGCACACGGCCTCGCAACCCGCGTGAGCTTCAAGTTTTGCTGACTGGCCTCGGCTTCTAGCAACCGCAAGGGTCTTTTGGTTCCCAACACAACGTCCGATCAGGAGCTCCAACATCTCCGGAATAGCTTGCCAGATGAAGTCCGCATCCAAAGAATAGAGGAGCGCCTGTCCGCCCTCGGCAACGTTATTGTTGCCAACGACCACATCGCCCTCATTCACCCAGACCTGGAGCGCGAGACGGAGGAGATTATCGCTGACGTCCTCGGCGTCGAGGTGTTCCGCCAGACCATCGCCGACAACGTGCTCGTCGGCTCGTACATGTCGCTCACGAACCAGGGCGGCCTCGTGCACCCCAAGACGTCGATTCAAGACCAGGACGAGCTGTCGAGTTTGCTGCAGGTGCCCCTCGTGGCCGGCAGTGTCAACCGTGGTAGCAACGTTGTCGGTTCGGGTATGGTCGTCAACGACTGGATGGCCGTGACTGGTCTGGACACCACGGCGACGGAGCTCAGTGTTATTGAGAGTGTATTCAGACTGGGCGAGGGCCTGGGCCCGGACAACGTCAACACGAAGCTCAAGGACACCATGGTCGAGTCTTTCTACTAAAAGAAAGGATTTGGTCCTGTGGGGAAAAGGGAGAGCTGCATGTTGAGCGGTTGGCTGCAGGAGTACTTTCTGGGTCGGGTTTTTCGTTGGTTTGGGATACCACTTATTGGGTTGAGCATGGTTTGGTAGGCTCTTCTCGTGAGCCGGGTTTGGGTTCACTCAGTACAGTACAGATGTATCTGTATGGCCGGCATGAATAAAAGCCCACGTGGGCACTTGGAACCCAATCTTGTTCAACCTTGTTGCGCCAGCCGGCTTCTTTACGCATCGGGGCTGTGATTGCAAATGTGAACAAACTAATGCCTTAGTAGTGGTCATGGACAGGCTTCGATGTAGCTCAGATGAGAATGTATTCCCCAAAGGGAAGATGAAGCTAACCATGAACCTTAACATGCAATGTTGGAGAAACCCAAACAGCAAATGCGATTCCACGTGAGTATTATTTCCTAAGCAGGAAGTCCTAGGTCACGACGGTCATTGTCTGCAAAAGAGCGAATCACAACCTACCGTTCCATTACTATTGTTTGCCTTTTGGGCTCAACCAGTTGCCTCTCGACGAAGGAGCCTATCAAATCTCGCAGGGCCTGTTTTTCTTTCGTCGTCAGAGTTCTAGCCCCCCCCCTCCCCCTCCCCCTCCCCTTCACCATTCAAAGCATCTCAGACTAGGTATCTGGAAGAGAACAAGCTTTGACTGGCTACCATAGGAACAGGGGGCCTCGGGAGAGGAGGCCTCGAGAGAGGTGTAACTAACAAACACACGCCAGGTCGAGTAAGAATGGTGCGTGTGGAAGGCTCCAGAGGGAAAGAGAGGGAGAATTTGGCTTTTACATTTCTGGGTACTGCGGAATTCTGGTCTCGGCTACCTATGGGTATGATTTATTCACGACTCAGCCCAGCCACCTTATGCAATGGAATTGGGGGGCGTGAGGGAAGGGTCTTCTAGTGGGAGTCTCGTGCTTGAGATGTGTTCTGTCGGGTGTCGACGCTTGGTGGGGGTTTTTTCTTTCTTTGTATATTTAGACGAGACAAGGGACTTCACACGAGGGGCGCAAGAATTAGGCTGCGCTGGTACTGCCTAGGTTAACTGCCTAGGTTAGGAAGGGAGCATGGGAAGCGCATGATGTTATGGACCGTGGCGGTTGAGGCGTCTTTTCTATTTGGGGTGTGGAATGTGGAATGCAGTGCGGTTGTTTCTTTTCGATATGCATGTCTGAGCGTGGCGGGATGGAGAAGGAAGGGCTGGTTTGAGCTGTCGATGTTTTAATCTTCCTAGGTATTGAGTAAGGTAGTCTCGCAGCCTGTAGGATTCTACGCTTCTAGCAGGTACCGAGGTTGACTCGCCTACCTATTTTAATCCCTTTGAAGGTTGTTTGTAGCTAGACTTGTCCAAACAGTATTATCTAGTGGTTTACATGTTTGGGACTTGTGCCGACGTTGGAATTCGGGAGCTCGGGACGGTTGGAGGTTTCGCTGGTTTGGGGTTGCATTCCAGGTTTGGTGTCGAAGATCTGCGAGGACGGACTCTAGACGCCGATCTTCCGGTAGATGGAGGCACCAGACGGGCTGCTATTCCTGGGCGGGGAATGGCATGGCTCTATTGTGTAGATACACGAATAGGTAGTGCAGTTTAGGTGAGTTTTGTGTTTGCACCTGTCTACATCTCATCGGGACTTTCAGATGTCAAGCCTCTCAGGGCACGGGCATGGGCACGGTGGAAAGCACAAGCCAGAGACGCAACAAAGTAGTGAGGAATCATCTGGTGGTTTTTTCTCGTCGAGTTGCAATGCGATTTCCAGGGTCCAAGAGAAAGGTACCTTTCTATGATTGCACGGACCTGGGGACGTGTGGTACGTGCTCCATAAAAAACAGGAAGAGGAAGGGAAAAGACCATCAATTGGGGAGGAGCGTTCGGGAACCGGCGGTGCGTTGGACACTTTGGGAACTGGCGGAAGGCGAGAGAGAGTGTTGTCCGTTGGCATAAGGTACTTAGCTTACGGAGTAGCATGGTCAAGTGACGACGCACTAGATGGCAATTGCAGGGCCGCCTCACTTCACTGCTCAAAGTCTAGAACCGGGACTGGCCAACCTACCTACGGGGAAGGTACAGCAAGCACCTCGCTGCCGGTCCGCTTTTCACTGCCCAAATGGTGATCGGGTCGACGGGTCCCACGGCCAAGTTGTTGGAGATGGGATGGACTCCGCCCAACCACCGCCAATTGCTGGATGTTGACGTCGCCCGCGTCGTCGCCTCCTGCCCGGGTCCTACGGTTTGTTTATCAGGGACCTCCTGGCGTTCTTCTTGTTTTCTCTCCTTCGTCTTGGTGGCTGTCGACCTGAACCTTCCATTCTCTTTCCTCAGTTCTGTGCACATTCGAAAGGGGAAAATCCAAGGCTATTTGCTTTTTTCCCACTCCGTCACTCGCCGTCATAACGTCGACGCCCGCTGCAGCGCCGGCCTCGTGGGAACAGACACACCTTTTCTCTCTGCGTCTGCGTCAAACCTGGGGTCTTCCCCGTTTCTTCGACATCTGCACATACCACGGATACGTTGTACCGGCTAGGTATATGCAGCCTCACGACTCTTGGGCCGCACTCTTTGTCACCTCCCTCGCACACCTGCCTCGACACTGACGGATACTTGCGGTCTGATATTCAGCCCTTCGGAGTACCTTGCCCAACTACGGATACTTACGCACAAATCGAAACGAAACGACGTTTGCCTACCTGTACGCCCATGCTGACTCGGAGGCTCGTCCATCCACTCTTACTATCACATTTCCTTTGACCGATATCCAACATTGGACCGGGCACCGCAATATCTCCGCTTTTTTATGCCTGTACTATACTTCGTACAGAGCGGCCCCCGACACTTTTGCATAGTCACAACATTGGGAGGAAGCAGTCCGAATATCAATATCATAAAGCCTTGGATCGGGATAATCGCGACTAGCCCCTCAGCCACAAGCGCATTCGTGTACTCACCTGCGACTTTGACAGCTTCGACGGCTTACAGCATCCCGCGCCGCCGACGCCTTCCAAACCGAACGCTCTCGTCACTTTATTCACGATCTGCGGCTGGTTGCGCACCTTTACTTTCTGTGCAACCATCCCTGTGCGACCTCACTATACTGCAAGTCTGCAAGGACCGGGCACCCAAGGGCCGTCTTCATCGATTCCAACAAGAGGTTCATGCGAGTTGTGCTTGACCGTCCGTCGCTTGTCAACTTTCCCTAGTCTGACCGACGCTCTTCATTCTCGCTTGCAGGGGGACCTGGCATCTCATCACGCCAAAAAGTCTCGCACACTCGCACTCCCCTTTGTCCCAGCTCGATCCATCCCTACCGAGCGGGCGACCACCAGCAGCGGACCACCCTAAAGTTCCAACGCTCTTCCCTCGAAAAAGTCCGTCTTGACTCTAGGTTGCTCCTAGGTCGCGACATCCGCCCCTCCCCTTCCGTTGTTTGTGGCCCGAGTCGATCCATTTACGTTCCTGGTCTGGCTACCGACCCAAGCCCGCGATACCCCCGGCCGTACAGCTAGACGCAAGCTGGGAGACACATATTGCCCGTCCCACACGAAACATTAACTTATCATGCTAAGCTGTCACGCCGCCGCCTCCACACCCGACTCCCCGATGTCTTTCCCACGCCCAACCAAGTCCTCTGGAATGGACAAGACTCAAACTCTACGCCGTGCACATGGGCCTGAGAGCGTTGATCCAGAAGACGATCCTGCTTCCCCAAGCGCTACCCCCGGTGCTGCCTTAAACACCAACCCGCCTGTCCAGCCCGAGCCGTGTCGCATTAGCTCGTCTGGAGCCGATCGAAGCTTTCCTCGACTACATTCTGGTCACCAGAGACAGCACTCTGTTCCAAACTTCCCTTCTACCAGCAAATCCGTCCCACAAGTCACCTTCTCGCCATCCCCTGAGCGAGGGTCTGGCCGCCCCTTGTCGGTCAATATGCCTCTCACGGGAGACAGCAGGAAGCCTTCAGATGCCACTCGAGGAGGTATACTGAGCAGCTGGTTAGGTGGATCTCCCAGCAATAATGAGGAAGCCAAGACGGACGACGATACGATAGAGGGGACACCTACAAACAGGCTACGCAGAAGACAAACCGGTTCAACGGAGACGACACCCAAAGGAGTTTCGCCAAGTACATCACGGTTCGCCTTCTTCAGCTCACCCTTCTCCAAGAACACCCCGACACAAGTCAGCCCACAACAGGATGAAGAGTTATTGTCTATGAACATCCAGGAAGCGCTATTCCCTCCTACATCTCCGACTCACAGAGACGCCTTCTCGCCTGCAGCCTTCAAGAACCTAGAGGCCACAGCTGTTGGCCTATTAACAAAGTTCCAAACCGCCTATCAAAGACAAAATGCCGCCCTGATAGAACTACGAGTCGAAAAGGACGCCCAAAATGACGAAAACGATGAGGCGGACACGCGAATCCAACACCTCAAGGTCCAACTAGAAAACATGGCAAGCAAAGTAGCTGAGCAGGAACAGTCGATGCAGCAGCTCATGACTGAATTGAACGCGGAGAAGAAGGCCAGGCAAGAGGAGAAGGCGACGCGTGAACGGAACCGTCCGATTTCCGAGGGGTCATCAATATCTGAAGATCTTGGCGCCGAAGAGGACCAGGCCAGGAGGAAGTGGAGAAAGAGCGCGGGATTCGACACAGACGAAGAGAGCGTTGAGGACGCCAGCGTTTTCTCAAGGTCACGAAGTCCTACCACCGCCGCACCCAGCGTATTCGAGGGCAGCATATCGGAGGCATCAGCAACCCCATCAAAGTCCAATTCACTCGGCCCCCCGAGAACCTCACGGCCGCCGCCTACGTCGAAACCGTCACCACAGCAGGCGAGTGTCTTCCAGAAACTTATGAGAGGGGTTACAGGCGACGCCGCGAAAGAGGAGGGGGGCGTGGCATCGTGCTCGAATTGCCGCGGGCAGGACCAGCGGGCCGCCTGGGATACGGTCAGTCTATTGAAAGACGAGAATCGCGGATTGAAGCATCGTGTTGAGGAGCTGGAGACGTATGTCGACAGTGCGTTGGATGTCGTCAACGGGCTTAGACTTGACTGACTGTGTCGTCATGTGTGATTCGCATACCCCCAACCGCGTGAGCCACCCTCCGCGGCATGACTGGCGTTTCCTGGTTTTTTTCTTTTCTTGAGTAAGGAGTTTCTTTGGACATGAACGGGACAACCCGATACCAATGAGCTGGCATTGTTGAAGTCTTTGAGAGCGGGCATGGGAGCATATACCTCGTCACTGGTAGATGATTTGGTAGAGAATGAAAGAAATCTGTCTGGCTACTGCAATACTCCCTTCATTTCTGCATCCACGCATCACACATTCTACACTGACTTCTTCAGGTAAGGTTAAATGCTTGAGAGTAATAGGGTTGTGTGGAAATGAGAAAGAATGTATGCAGCTAATCTTGGATTGGGAAGCTGACGTTGAAAGGAAGAAGGCCAAGGAAGCTTGGACGGGTGAGAGAGGGAGGCAAGGAGGCAGGTGAGAATTATGGGATGATGGGTTGAAACGGGTGTCTGTGCCAAGACGAGGTGGTCTTGGGAGAGCGGAATGGTGGTTCCAATGGGGTTTTTAGGCTTTGCTGCTGTGGTTTGTCGTAATTCACTGGGAGAATGCAAGTCAAGTATGTTCTCGAAGCCGAGGGTCGTGATACAGAGGCTACTGGCTCATTTCTTGTTTTCGTACGTTTTGGCCCACCGCGTGATTTTGGAGATGACTTATTTCTTCGAACCAAGGTCACACTGAACTCTTTTCATACGGTGTCCTTCAGGCATGTTGTAGTTTCCAGTCTACTTCGTATCCCGTATGATCGGTGCTCTAACTCGTGATGCTGCTCCCTGTCCATCGCTAGTAGGATCCATCTGTCGACTCACAAGATCATTGTCGATTGCTTTTTGACTGAAGAATACACTGCGCGACGTTTCTTTTTAGATGAGAGCAGGTGGCAGCCCGCTTCTGGGTGCCCTTCCAGCTGCTCTATCGAGCCGGAGGGTCAGGTGGTCGTACGATCAAGATGAGCAATCGCGGTATATGCCACAATCACTAGTGAGGCCAATGGAGCCTTTCAGAGTCGGACTTTGGGTGTTTGTTAGGCTTTCTCCTTCTCATCGACCTAACGATTGGACTCCAGCAGTGGGCGAGGGGTTAGTGGAAGTGGCAACGCTCTATGACACTTTCACGGGTAGCCTCCGGCATCAAAGACAGGCTTGATGTTCGCAAGACTTTAAGTGTCACACGATATCGTGATAGCGGAAAACCAAATTCGTCCTCATCTAAATCCTTCCAGCGAGCCGGTCTACCGGTTCGAGAGGTACATGTACAGCGGAGTGTTCCCCTTCTCCGTCTTCCCACAACCAATCCGTTCAGCAATCTAGTGGTGGTCCTTTCCGTGGGCGTCGCCGTGGTGGTGATCGTCGGTCAAGAAGAAGTACTCGTACGCGCAGTAGCCGGCAAAGGCGACGGTCGCGATGCCGAGGCCGGGGAAGGATCCCTTGAACCGGTTGAATCGCGTGAAAGGGCCCTTGTATCTCCAGGACTCTCTGTAATCTCCATCGTCAGCGGATGTCGCGGTGTTCTTCGGGGGCTGCATAGCCAAGTGCCACTCACGCTCTTTCCCAGGGGTCGTATCTGGGCTGGCCGGCCGCCTCCTTGAAGGCTCTCATGTCGAAGCCGGTGATGTTGGGCTTCTGGCCGCGGGTGGCCGCCATCGCTAACCTGGTGTCAAATGGGCGTCAGCAGTCTGCTCTCCATCTCACTATGTCAATTGAGCTCTTTGGAGAGCAATTACCTCGTTGGCTGCATAATTGCTGTGTGAATGTCGTCTTGCCGTACAACAATGGACTCTTTGGTGGTGGTCAGTCGAGTTGGGGCGAAGCTGATTGGAGATCTTTGAGATGTTGTCGGCGGAAAGTACCGTGGTACGTACCTGGCCGGCTCTGGTCTCGCACAGACCACCCCTCGTCCTCCACGGTCGGTCAACCATAGCAAGCCTTCAGGCCTCATCCACACATTCTGTCCAAATCCGAGATAACTAGACGTTCTCGCCAGCGCTTTAGCTCCGCACGAACCCAGAACGACGATCAGCATCACTCAACAAGCATCACCCGACGCGACGACTCATCCTCTCTGCAAATAATCGCTCTTCTCGTACATTCAAAACGAGCCAATCCGACCATCGGCGGGGAAGACCAAAGGTGTTTCTGCACTGCCAACCACCCCGTCCCTCACTCGCATCTCCAGACGCAAATGCAGGGCCGTGGACCGTCCACAACCCCTCAGAACCCAACGCGACCTTGCCCGACGACACGGTGAGCTTCCGATTTTATTGTACGGACCTCTCGAGAGGCATAGTCTGTTATGCCGCCACAGCTGCCTAGGTTCCCTGGCGGGCCCAACACCATATCGCCGTACCACCAGCAGTTCCCCTCCCACGCCCAAGGCCATGGCCCGAATCATGGACCCCCTCTAGGAGGAAACCCTTCCTACCTCAACACGAACGCCGCTCAGATCAGCCCCTTCTCTACGAACGGAAATGTCCTCGGCGGTACGCCCGGCTTGAATGGCGGCTTCCCCCTCGGCGCCGACACCGGGCTCGGAAGCCATGCTGCGCGGATGGGCTTTGCGCACGCGGCCAGCCTACAGCAACAGCAGCAGCACGGGCAGCCGCAACATAACTTTGGGCTCGATCACGGCGCGGCGCCAGCGCGGACGACGCAGAACAAGGGGAGAATAAGGGAGGTGTGGAAACACAACCTTCACGAGGAGATGGCGGTACTACGGGAGCTCGTCGACAAGTACCCGTACATTGCTATGGTTAGAAGATATGCAAGGTCTTCAATATGACGAATTGAGGCTGACAAGACAAATCACAGGACACGGAATTCCCAGGCGTCGTGTCACGGCCAATGGGTTCTTTCAGAGGAAAGAGCGACTACCACTACCAGTGTCTGCGCACCAACGTCGACATGCTCAAGGTCATTCAGATTGGACTGACGCTCTTCAACGAGGATGGCGAGACGCCACCAGCAAGACCGAATTCGCAGCAAGACATCGAACTGAGCGCTGCTCAACGGAGAGCAGCGTCGCAAGGGCCGTTCCCATACGCATGGCAATTCAACTTCAAGTTCTCCGTTAAGGACGACATGTACAACGAGAAGTCGATTGAGTCATTATCGAGTGCCGGAATCGACTTTGCATCCCTCGAGAGAGATGGCATCGACCCGCACGAATTCGCCTCCCTCCTCATCCCATCCGGTCTCGTATGCTTCGATAATGTGAAGTGGATCTCCTTCCACGGAGGCTACGACTTTGGCTACCTTACTAAGTTGCTGACCTGCAACGACCTCCCCAACGACGAATCGGATTTTGATCAAGTCATGAAGCTGTATTTCCCGTCGGCTTACGACGTCAAGCACCTGATGAAGCACGCCATCCGGCTTCACAACTCTGGACTCCTTACCCCAAGCGATCCTAGCAGCGCCGATATCCTCCAGAAGTTTGAGCACAAGTCTGGTCTCGAGAACATTGCCGATTCCCTCAAGATCAAGCGAGTGGGCAATGCGCACCAGGCCGGTTCAGACTCTCTGCTTACGGGCAAGGTCTTCTTCCAGATGCGCGACAAGATCTTTAATGGAGAGATCCCTGAAGAGCATGTGGGCAAGGTCTGGGGCTTAGGTATCCCAGAGCTCCTGGTGTTGGAGAGATTGCCCTTCGGTAACAACGGCGGCAACCAAGATTCGGCGCAAAACCAGGGCCCCAATGGTCAGCACAACGGAGGGCCGAGTACGCCTAATACCGGTAGTGTCGGTCTCGCGAGCACGCCTGCCGCACAAGCACACAACACCAACGGCATCTCCATGGGACCAATGACCCCAGGTGGGGGCGGCGGGGTCTTTGGCAACTTTGCCTTTGGGGGCGCCAGATAAGCTTCCATGTCTCTACGACTCCTGACTGGGGTTACGTGGGCAAAGAAGTCATATGGCGCACGTTGGACTTCTTTGGGCGGGCTGGCCATGGTGACTTGCTTCCCGGGAGGGTCTAATGTTGACGCTGGCTTTTGGTTTTGCATACTTTGTCTATACATTGGTGGGAACGTGGAAGAGCTCAATCCCTCCATCCCGCTTCCTGATTCTCTCAGTGGAAAAGCTCATAGTCGCTGGGAGTAAAATGATCGTTTTTCACGACAAAAAAGATTTATTCTATTTCAGTTGTTTTTCTCTCTCTGCGGTCTGTTTGTGCGGTGATTACGTTCTGGAGTTGGGATTGGGGGAGGGGGTTTCCATCTTTGGTTCCAGCATCACATCCCGTAAGCTAGAACGGCGGCGGCGGCGGTAACGGGTCGGGTTTGGGCTTTTTTCGTCTGGATGACGGGTTGGGTCACGGAATCGGGGGGTGGACGAACGACGATGCACAGGCAAACTTTGCGTATGCCCCCTAGTTGGGAGTCGAGGGAATTGCGAAAAAAAGCAGGATGACTGGCGAGAGAGTGTGTGTGTGAGATGGAGGGGATTGTTCAAGTAGGAGAGAGAAAGAGAGTACGAGCGCATGAAAAACTTAACTCTTTACACATGTATTGTTATTGTGCATATCCTGGATTAGGGAGGCACTTTGGGGAACGACTGGAATTCAAATGCAAGTTTAGTTGTTTACACTTTCGCTGTAGGATTTGGGTGTAATTGTTTGTGTAAAAGTGAGTTGACTTTACGCGGTTTGGAGTGACCATCATAGTCCATCGAGGACTTGTTAAGTTTGGGGTGAGTTTTGGTCTGGCGGGTTTAACGACGGGGTGGTAACTTGATGACTATCTAGTAGGTCTGCAAGACAACATCGTTCGAAGGTGTTAACGTAGCTCCCACTTATCGTCATCTTCATGAAGATATTATAGTCTGTACAAGACACAGGCTGCTTACGTTGAGTCACTTTCGACAGGATGAGAGTATTGTGGTGATTCAAAGCGTCTACTCAAATAACGAATATGGTGCCTACGTTGAAGTCGAATGTTTTGCTCGAAAGAGGAAATTGAAGACGATGCGTAGAAGTCGGACTTGCCTAAATACAAGCTGAAGCCTGATAACTTGCCGTCCTTCAAACTCTGGTTCTTGGTCTTGCTGATGACCGAAACTAAGGGAGATTGAGTTTTAAATTTGGCTGGCGAGGCGAACGATTGTCGAAATTGATTCCGAGATCAACTAGTGATGAATCGATATTGGAAACTCCAGTTCAACTACATTGGTGATGTATTATTTGCGAAACAGCGGATCAACTTGGCTTCGAGGTTATCTTCTCCTACAAAGTGAAAGTAGATATAGCACCGAACACATTTACTGTCTTCAAGATATCAACTACACCTTGGAATAGTACACTCTATTCAGCCGCTTAAAAACAGTTCCCGAGGCCAAGACAGAGAAACGGGAGTATCGTGTTGTTCAAGGCATTGTATCACATTGAAGAGAATACAGACTCTCAAACCATTGCTTCTACCAATACGTCCATCTTTCGATAGCAGGGAATGGAGCTTGAACCCACGTACAATCCCGCGCCCAGAACGGCCGCTTCAGGAGAAAAAGCGGATCTGCCGGGAACGAAGACTGGGACCCGGAAGGTCTTCATCAATTAAACTGGAGCGAAGAACACAAGGTGGACACCTGGGAGTGCAGTGCAGATGACGTAAACCCGCTCGTTTGCGGACCTTCCAACACCCCGGGTCCGTGCACATGACCTGGTCCTCGTAGATTGTAGTCCGATCCCCTGTGTCAAAACATTCCTATCCGTAGAGGGTGCGCATGCGCTTTCTTGGAGAGTATTCCGGAAGCCTACAGATCTTCCCCCGTCTTCCGGCGCGCATTACGAAGCCTTCCCACACGATCAAATTCTTTTTTTCTTACCACAACGAAAGGAATACAACACCTGCGACGACAACCTCCGAAAGATCGATACAAGTTGAAAACGCAGCGCCTCATGGACGCTGTCTCCACAACGACACAATGTTCCACGTCGTGAGCGCCTCGTCGCCGGTGCCATCGGAAATCTTTGCGCTCCTTGCGCTCCTCGTCATTTCCGTCATCGTCCTACTAATTCTGCGCCATTTCCTACCCTTGCGAACGACGCCTGCCTTCTACCTGGTTCCGATATTCTTCGCATTATGGCTGCCTGCGTGCATGGTACTGCTTGTACCGATCGATTTGGCTTCAAGCGCTAGGACCGATGATGAGGCCACGCGCGGTATCTGGCTTCCCCAGAGATTGTTGCTGGTGTCGTGGAGGATTACTTACTGGCTCACTTTCGCCTTGACATGGTGCGTGGCTCGCCGCAGTTGTCCCCCTTGGCCATTTTGTTAAACATTTGTTACAGGTTCATCCTCCCCATCCTTGGCGAATACTCCGACTCCGGCTACCGCGAACCGCAGGACAGTCTCAAGTACTCACTCCGTCAAAATGCGCAATACCATGCGATGGTTTTTGGAAGTGCTGCTATCGGCCTCACGTACCTTTTCGCCAGGTACGGCGTCGGCGCCCTCGAGTTCAAAGCCTCCTTCATGGCACTCGCATATTTCTACGGCTTGATTTTCGCGATATACCTCATGGGACACGGGTTGGTCTCTGTGCCCCGGCGACTGCTTCGATACGCATCTATTAGTGGGCGACTGCGTCGACTTCAAATCCGTGCACCGAAATTATACGAAAAGATGGAGGATTCCCTACTGAACCTGGAGGATGTCGAATTACAAGTATCGGA